ACATAAAACCTTTTTATTTCTCACACATCTGACATTAAATCAGATTAAACTTTTCCTGTTTCAGGTCAGTTAGGATTACCAAAAAAAAAGTTCTATTTGCTAAACATTCGAATAATGAGAGAGAGAGACTTTTTTTTTTTTAGAGAGTTTTTTAATTACTTTCTTCAAAGTCAGAAGTTTACATACATTAAGATTATTATGCCTTCAGAATATTTGGGAAAGCCCAGATGGTGATGTCATGACTTTGGAAGCTTTTGATAAGTTAGCTGACAACATTTGAGGTAACTGGAAGTACACCTGTGGATGTATTATAAGGCACACCTCAAACACACTGTTTCCTTTTGTGACAACATGGAAAATCTAAAGAAATCAGCCAAGATATCAGGAAGATAATTATAGACCTCCATAAGTCTGGTTCATCCTGGGGTAGAATTTCCAGATGCCTGAAGGTTCCACGTTCATCTGTTCAAACAATTATATGTAAGTATAAACACCATGGGAATGTCCAGCCATCTTACCACTCAGGAGAGACGGGTTCTGTGTCCCAGAGATAAAGTGTCAAGCGTAGAACAAAAGCAAAAGAACTTGTGAAGATGCTGCTGAAGCTGGTAAGAGAGTGTCATTATCCACAGTGAAATGAGTCCTGTACCAACATGGGCTGAAAGGCCACTCAGAAAGGAAGAAGACATTGCTCCAAAAGAAACATAAAAAAGCCAGATTGCAATTTGTAAATGCTCACAGGGACAAAGACCTTAATTTTTGAAGACATGTCCTATGGACATGAGCTGAAATCAAATGCTGAAATGGTGAGTGCGAGCAAGGTGGCCAACAAACCTGACTCAGTTACACCAGTTCTGTCAGGAGGAATGGGCCAGAATTCACCAAACTATTGCAAGAAGCTTGTGGAAGGAAACCCAAAACATTTTACCCAAGTCATGCAGCTTAAAGGCAATGCTACCAAATACTAAGGAAATGTATGTAAACTTCTGACTTTGAAGAAAGTAAGAAAAAAACAGAAAAGATTTAGTCATGTTTAAAGTCAGATGGTGAGAAAAAAAAAGGTTTTGTGTCTTTTAAAACAGTGTATGTAAACTTATGGTTTCAACTGTATAAAGTTAACTTTCAGCTATTTATTACTTTTAGATGGTATTTTGTTAACTTTTTGTCATTTTTAGCTAAGTATTTATTGCTTTTAGTCAATTATTAATTACATTTACTAAACTATTGGATACTTTTAGAAAACCATTTATTACTTTTAGCTTATCGGTTGTTATTTTAAGCCAACTTTTTATACCATTTAGCCAACTATTAATTACCTTTACCCAACTATTTCTTTCTTTCAGCCAACTACTTGTTACTTTAAACAAACATATTCATTTTTGCAAACTATTTCTACTTTTAGCTAGCTATTTGTTCTTTTTGGATAAGTAGTTGTTACTTTAAACAACTATTTTTACATTTTAGCCAAGCATTTGTCATCTATTTATTATTTTGAGTTAACTATTTATTATTGTTGTTGTTGGTGTATGCTTGTTGTGCACATTTACAATACCATTGTTTTAAATAACATAAAAAAGCAAAGTATAAATGCAAGTGTAAAGTGTCAGTTAGGCCAACACATAACTCTACATAAAATCTTATAAAAGAGGAGTTTCTCCCCTTTGGAGTTATTAGAGGTTTTTCCAGCAACCTCTTCTTTGAATTGTGCTCTTAAGCCTTCCTACTGGAATCCAACAAGAGTTCTTTATGGCTTTCTTGTTTATGATAGTATGATAGAGTACTGTAAACCCCTGAGAATATTCCCTCCAGACATCTCTTATAACTTGTAGGATCATCCTAAGGTGCAGCAGAAGAACATCCCAAAGTCTGTGTTGAGGTGTCATATTTTTCCAAATAATATTTATTGTGTTCATACAAATAAACCAATATATCGTGTTCTTCAGATCAGGGGTTCATCACCTTGTTAGGAAGTCCAGGTCCCATCCAGGCAGATGTTAAGGAGGGGGAGAGCCTGAGCCTCAGGGTAGAGTTTGATGCCTACCCTGAACCGAGCTCCTTGTCCTGGTCTTACAATGGCAAGCATCTCCTCAACACCACAGAGCACGTCATCACCATCCACCGCCGCAAATACAGGTACAGTGAGTATGCCAGTACTGCGGTAAGTTGCTGTGTGTGCACAGATGTCTAATTTTGTTTTTATTTTCTCAGATACACCAGTGAGCTGAGACTAGTGAGGGTTCTTGGCTCGGAGGGAGGGATCTATAATTTCTCAGCAAGTCACGAAGATGCATCTGTTGATCATTCTTTTCACGTGTATGTCAGCAGTAAGTAGCTCTCACGTACTTTGAAATCAATCATTAGGTTGAGGCTAAAATAAAACTGTGTGCAGATTTATAAAGCCTACACATACATCTATTTGTAACACTTTGTATTACAGTCGAACAGGCGGTTACAACAACATACACAAACATTTGGCTTGTGCTGCAGTTGTTTGGAGGTGTAAAGAGGAAACCTCATACTGTCATTATAAGACACTGTGAATTCCTGCAGGCTGCTTTTTCTGTAGCAGCACCACAGGTGGTAGCATACAGGGACTCTACAGGATATATTGTAGGCGTATGTGTGAAATATGTGTCTTATTTTGTTCCGTGCAAGGTAAGCCTGTTATCATTGCCCAGGAGGGGCCTGTTGATGGTCAAGTACGGTGCATTGCTTCAGGATACCCAGTTCCTAAAATCAGCTGGTATTTCTGTGACCTGCCCCACACGAGGTAAGCCAAAAATATATTGCACTACTTTCATCCGTGAGTATCTTGCTTGGTTTGCCTTGTTAGATTTAGCTTAAAGGGAGAAAGACTGGGGAGGTGGTGAAACACTGCAAGTATCATGATCTGGATGTGAATCAGCTTTAACGTTTTGCTTTGTTGTTCTCCCATCATCAGTTCTGTTTCAACACAGTCATAATTCACAAGTGATTGGTGAGATAGTGATCAGGGCAGATAGTGATCTGTTGTACACTAAGAATTGCCTCTGTGAACGAATAAACATACACTAAAAGCAGGTACTCTGAAGTTACTGCGTCACATAATGAATTATCCCACGATTATTATTTTATGTTCGTGTCAGTTTGGCCGATAATGTTAAACGTGGCTCATTTTGTGTTGATTTGTCTGGCAGTTTCTGTGAGAGCAGGAAATGCTTTAGGGAGCGGAACAAGTTGATTAACTGGTTTATGTCACCTTGTGGCCTTGTGAGCTTATTAGCATTTCGACAAACAAACCACAACTTTTTTTGACAGTTGGCCAACACACACGCACGCATTCACGCACACATCAAATTTAACACATTTTGAGCCCTAGTAAAATAGGAATTTGATTTACTTTTCAAATCTGACTTGATTTATTGACATCATTAACTGTAATTACTGCAGCTGATTAGCTAATCACAAGTATATTATCTCGTTAGCTCGGGAGTTGTCCTGTTGTGACAATTACACATTTATCTTGTGCTGGTGCAAAACAACCAGATATTCTTTTGATAAAATGGCAGAAAGATTGCATTACTTCGAGAAAGCATCCATTTAAATACACTGCGTAATTATCGGACACTCATTTCAGTTAGAGGAGACCAGTTGCCAGTTGATGGAAGTTGGCAGCAGAAAGAGACTGCAGTCTGTGTGGAGGACAAGACTCCATAAGTCTAAAAACCAAAGAGCAGCGTCCAACAATAACAACTAGCTTAGAGAATGCGCAAGTTTTGACATTGTAGGAAAACAGAAAGCTCGAAGAACAAAACAGCAGAAATGTACACAATTTTCATGCAACCACAGTGTGCTGAAACTCAGTCTTCCCTGTTACTTTCGACTGTAATCAGTCCATCAAGTCATAAATGCCAAATCTGCTCTACATTAGAGTAGAGAGGAAAATGTTGGAGAAAAGGTAGAAGAATGATTTTAAGCAACTTTGACCGCTCAACAGATGCTCACACCTGCCCAATGCCACCCAATGGGAGACACCGGAGGTCGCCATGCTGACAGAGTCTGCCTTCGGTAGGAGTGAGGTGGAGAGTCGGCTGAATGTCAGCAAGGAGCACGCTCAGTATCACACCCTGGAGTGTGTGGCCTCTATGGAGGGGGAAGAGGCCTACACACTGTTCTCCATCAGCGGTATGACACACACACAAATACCACACACTGTATAGCTGATATGCTAACTATGACACATGCACATGTGTTAAAAAGCTGACCCAGTAAAGGCGTCAGTGTCTGGGCAGGGGAGGGTCTTTATCTCATATACCACAACACAAACACGTTGCACAAACACAGACACACAAACCCGTCGACCCCACGTCTGCCGAGGCCAGGTGTGTGGTTCCTGGGTACAGATTGAATAAGATTAGTGTATGCTGACTATGCAGGCGGGGATTATATGGCGTAGACTCACTAATCCTTGTCACACAAACAAACACCACTGCTGCAGCTGTCTGTCTTAATGGTGGAGGAAGAGGATGTGGCCGTGTGTGTGCATGACGTTTGTGTAACTACCAGTAAAAAGTGTTGATAATGATTTATTATTGTGGTTTTGTTGGTGTGTGTCTATTCACAGAACGCATTGTCCCCCATAAACTCTTCACGCCTCTTCTAACTGGCATGGTGGCAACTGGAGTCTTACTCAGCCTCATTCTAGTGGTGCTGCTCTATAAGTATATGCAGGTAAGACAGAAAATAAACTGCAGTTTTAATCGACTGATAGTAGGGTCATAAACAGGCTCATGTAAATCACAAAAATCTATGGCCATCAGTCGCTTTCAAAGCCATGTGTTAGTTTCAAAGTTTGTAGACATCAATGTTTAATTAAGTTCATCTAGCAGCATTGATATAGGGTTTGCATCATAGAGAAGTAAATGGCTTGAGTAGTTTCTGGCAAAGGGCCCATTCTCATTTACTAATGACTCATGCCTCCATCCTGTTTATAGTATGTTAAAGTTAGAAGCATGTTTCGTTCTGCATTTGGTAACAAATTTTATGTTCTGCAGATAATTGTGAAAGTATGTCCTTTTAATCAACGTGAATGTGTCCTAATGAAACTGAACTGCATCAATCAGCCATTCAGAGTGCCGACATGCTGTAGTTAAAGGATTTTTTTGACACTCTGATCACGCCTCGAGCCATTAATTTACCCCCCTGAGCACGCTGCTCACACTAAACTCGGATGAGTCAGACTCCTTGAAAACTAGTTTATGAATCTGCAGTGGGATCATCACGGGAAAGTCTAGACATGGGCTGACAACTAAAGTGCATCGAGTAATGTAAACCTCCATGTTAGGAGGAATGAGAAAAGACAATAAACATCAGCAATACAATCACACAAAACAGACAATCCCAGTAAGGTGCTCTAACATTACTTTTCTCTTTATAACTTCTCTCCAAACCAACAGAAACCAAAGTTCCAAATCCAGTGGAAGGTGATTGAGAGCATCCATGGAAACAACTACATATATATTGACCCCACTCAGCTGCCATATGACTCCAAGTGGGAATTCCCCAGGCAGAAGCTACGCTTCGGTATGACAGCATCCATGTTTGTGTAGCTGTGTATGTTGACATTTGTAAGCGTGCACGTGTGCAGGCCTGCTAGTGTGATTGTTGCTTAAGTAATTACAAAATGCTAACAGAATGATGTTTGTGTACTTAAAGGTAAAACTCTGGGCTCTGGGGCGTTTGGAAAGGTAGTGAGGGCCACAGCGTATGGACTGTGCTCTGCAGATACTGTTACAACCGTCGCTGTTAAGATGCTAAAACGTGAGTCTGTTGTGTCTCATTGTCTTTTACTGCATCTGTGAGTTACATAACAACGCACATTAAGTGACATGGTATACAGGAGTGGAACCTAAGTATTCAGGTACTGTACTTAAAGAATGATAACAGCAGGCTGAGAAGCAGTGTTTTGCTGCCCTCTCTGGTTTAAAGTTTCAAGCTCGATTCACCACTGGACATTTGTAATGTCCTGGATGCTGCACATCACTGCAGCACGGTGAGGAGTTAAACCACAGGAGGTCAGCACAAACAAGAAGGACTTATATACAAATTGAAAAAAAACATCAACATGTACAACATTTTTACAGGTGTTCACAGGTGCTACCAATATTGAGAAAAAAAATCTGAAAAATGTAAATGTCTTTAATTTGTTCCCATACTTCTCTCCTGTGTGTTGTTTTGCACACGACATGTCCCAGCTGATGGCTTCATGGTTGCTCTGAGAAGTGCAGATTTATTGTTTTTTGTTTTTTTTTACAGAAGAGACTCTTGCCCCTTTTGAAGTATCTATGAATTATTTGCAGTTGCACAGAAGAAGCATTTTCTCTCTTCTAGTTTCAGTTTGTTTGAGGACAAAAGGGGGAACTTATTCAATAAGCAAATATTGAAGATAAAAAAAGTTTTTAAAAAATGAATGCAAGGTTTTATTTTTTAATTTATTTATTTTTCTTTGAAAATCCCATTAATAATCTCATATACCCCCAGATCAATGTCATGACCTGTGGGAGGGAGCCCAAATCTTAGGTTGGGAACCATGGGACTACAAATAAAATAACTGAATGTAAAGTAGCTACAGCTAGCTTCACCTCCACCAGTCACAGCAGTAAAATAATCCACAATGCTGCGTCAGTATAAATAATCTAATAATATCACACCTGGGAAACTCTGAAATACTTTAGAACATTTTAACATTAGGTAAAAATTATTAAAAATAAGGTTTTTTAGTTGTTTTTTCTTCCGTTTATTAACATTATCTGCTGATGTCACCTCAGCTAACGCTCATTCCACGGAGAAGGAGGCGCTGATGTCAGAGCTGAAGGTTCTCAGTTACCTTGGAAACCACGTGAACATCGTTAACCTGCTGGGCGCGTGCACTGTCGGAGGTGAGAGGAGCTGCTACCAACGCTTCCAACACACTTGCAAGACTGGCATACAAGATAGCTTTCAGTTAAACATGTTCCAGCCTTTATTAGGTGTCGACTCTAAACACATCTTGTATCGGCACTCTGGTTTCATTATTTCATTTATTATAGTCATTATTTATTTATTGATTGTTTTTATGTTGTCTAGAAAACTTAGAGATGTGCTGACCTGCTGCTGCGTCCAACCAATCATGGCCGTTTATTAAAAATCAGATATTGAACAGTCAGTACCCTCTATCTCCGATACGAAGACGTGAAGCAATTTGACTTGTCACAAATTTACTACACATTCAATCAATACTCTTTACCCGTCTAGACCTCAGTATTGATTGTAATGCAGCATTTTGATTGACATCCACACAAATATGCGTGAGTAAGTTATTACGAGAACACCGAACACTTGATGTCTGTTTTTGTGGCCATTAGGCTTTCAAAAAAATCTTTACGTTAACTTAACCAATACTGACACAAATCTTTCAGCTTGTTTTAACACAAAAATATGGATTGGCTTTTCAACAGATTTGCTGTTAAAACCCAGACAGAGTGTATCACATGTCCTCCCTTGTGTCGAAGTCCATTGCAAATGCATTGCCATCATCTTTTGTCTCGTTCTCTTTGTTATATGCTGTCATGGTTTATAAATCAGCGACTGAGGTTTTTTTTGTTTTGTTTTTTTTTTTTTATCTCTGGATCCTGCCAGGCCCAATTTTGGTGATCACAGAGTACTGTTGCTATGGAGACCTCCTCAACTTCCTGCGAAGAAAAAGAGAGTCCTTCCTAAACTCCCAAGTTGGGGATGGTTACTATCGCAACGTCTTGAACCAAACAGAGCCTGCAAGGTGTATATCCATGTGGATTCTTAACTGTGATTACAACTGAAAGTGGTTAATTTCACTACTAATGTGGGTGTCTATCTGTGTGCTTGTGTGTAGCAGAGAGGTGGCCGGTGCAGGATATATGCCCATGCGTCCGTCTGAGAAGGAGAGGTCCTCCCAGTCAGGTACAAAGTGTCTCCCTCCACATTCCTGATTATAATACACTGCAGAACCAAGCATGCAAAGTCTGTTTTCAAGCACTAAAGCTGACAGTGCAATCTTTATCCAGATGACATTGATGAGCTGTCTCTGGACGCCGAGGATCTCCTCAGCTTTTCCTACCAGGTGGCCAAAGGAATGGAGTACATTACCTCCAAGAATGTAAGGCTTTTATAGACCCTGTTAATATTTATAGAGTAGTTGCAGAAGAGATTTAAAAGTGCTGCTGCTGGTTTATAATCATGCCATGGCTCAGGGCCAACATTCATGTGGAAACCTTGCTGTCAGCTCTATACATACAGTGAAGCTGCATTTACAGCCGATCTTACACTGCACGCAATTGAAGCCCTCTTTCTTGTGATGTTAAAGCTGCACGATTTAAGGTTTATATATCAACCGTAGCAGAAATTACACTTGCAACCATTAACCTAGAGATTTATCCCTCGATTATCACTCAGCTCTGCAGTTCCTCTCACCTTTGTGATGCGTTTTAGCCTTTTTCAGCGTATTGTTTTGGTTCTGTGGCAATCACATTGCTGTTTTGAATCAGTCTGCTTGCTGTAATCTCATCAGCAATGTTACCTACTTAGCACAAAGCAGCAGGCAAAGTTAGAAACTACACTGTCTGGTGAACATAATGGAGCATTCAGCAGCTAAAGGAGAATTGGTGGAGATCCAAACAGAGCTGTAGAGACTATATGGCGTATATAAAAGCCAGTGATGGGCCGCTGTTGATGAACTGCGATATGCTTTCAAACAAAATGTCCAATTTCCATGATCAAAGTTCAGAATTAATATGCAGATAGATTCAGATGTACCACTTGGTGGTCAGAGTAGTACTCTAAAAAAAACATAAAATGGCTCCTACTAGAGCTATAAAGGCAGTGAATATTGGAGTTACATTTAGCCAAGTGACCAGACATTATTCAAATGACTGATGATGCTGTGCATATGTCAGTTTTGTGTTCACAGCTTGTTTCTGCTGCCCCTATCTGGCCAGAAAATCATTTTGTTAAGGTTCAAATATGCGTCAGTTTTGCCACTTAAAATGTAACCTCTAATCTCTTCTTGTCAGGCTTTGAGTGATTCACTTTATTTTAGTAGTAAGTAATCCTGGCCTGAGTTTACACTTTACCGCTCGAAAAACCAAAACCTGCCAAGAGGTTTGAAAGGCATGTTGTCTGTTAGAAGATCACCAAACCTTCACCATTTATCAGAACAAGAAACTGTAAAAACACAAAGAAAAAATAATTCACTTTTCAACAGTCCTTTGATGCACCGCTCCATTTGAAAACAGATCTAGGCTTAAAATTGTGATATTTACACAAAATCCATCCATCCATTATCTATACACCTTAATCCTCACTAGGGTCGTGGGGGGCTGGAGCCTATCCCAGCCAACTCAGGGTGAAGGCAGGGGACACCCTGGGCAGGTCGCCGGTCTATCACAGGGCTACACTTAGAGACAGACAACCAAGCACACTCACATTCACACCTAAGGACAATTTAGAATCGCCATTTAACTTCAGCATGTTTTGGGACTGTGGGAGGAAGCCGGAGAACCCGGAGAGAACCCACACTACATGGGGAGAACATGCAAACTCCATGCAGAAAGATCCTGGGCGTCCTAACCGGGACACGAACTGGCGACCTTCTCACTGCAAGGCGACGGTGCTAACCACCGAGCCATCCTGCAACCCTAAACAAAATCCCTTATTCAATATTTCTCATTTACGACTAGAAAAAAGCAGTTTGCACAAACCAGTATTTGTTGATTTAAAAAAAAAAAAATAAAAAAAAAAATAAAAAAATTAAAATCTGCGCTCCTTGGCCTAATCAGGAAGCCATTAGTGAGTCAGCTCTGCAGAATGTGTTTACACAGCAGATAGGAGACAAGTATGGAAGTTATTGGCATAAAAATGCAATATCGGTCAATATCGTTATCCGATTTTTTGCCTATGATGACAACTGATAAAATAATGCCTGCATTTCGCAGCGCGCAAATGAGGATGTCATCAAACTGCGTCGTGAAGCATGTAAACAAGCGTGGCTGCAGTAACAAGCTTGCTCGCGCTGTGCCTGACTAACAGGCTATGATGTTACTGGGGCTGGATCCAAATAATCCAAATAATTAGTCGTTGTGCTGACATCCGGATATTAATTTTGAGGTCCGAATTCACCAGACCAGCGGTACGCTGTTCGGGAGGCAGAAAAGATGCCACCACAAAAAAAAAAAAAACAGGCGATATCCATGCTATTGCTGGAAACAGAACTGTGACCGCAGACCTAAACTGGCATTAGCAGTCAAACACTGCCTATGTGTTCCAACCACTTCCACTCCGTCGGAGCGCATTTTCTCGAAGGCTTGCTACATCGTCGACAAAACCAGGAGTTCACTTTTGCCCGAAAATTTTGACAAACTCATCTTTCTGGCACATAAAATGAAGAGAGTGTAGGTAGGCTACTCAAAGTCCGTTCTTGTAAATATGTGGCACTGTTTTGCATATATATTTATATTATATATATATATATATACAATTTAGACTCTAAATATATATGAGTCTAAATTGTCCGTAGGTGTGAATGTGAGTGAGCTTGGTTGTCTGTCTTGAAGTGTAGCCCTGTGATAGACTGGTGACCTGTCCAGGGTGTCCCCTGCCTTCACCCTGAGTTGGCTGGGATAGGCTCCAGCCCCCCATGACCCTAGTGATGATTAAGCGGTGTATAGATGATGGATAGATGGATATTGTTAATATATTATAATTCATTCGGTAAATTTGTCCTTTTCTAAATTTGTATTCAATTTGTATTTGAGTTTCTTTAAATGCCCTTTACCGTGTTTGTAAATAAAGAAATGAATAATATAAGTAAATGAATAATATCCTGTCATATTTGTTGTTATTTGGTCCCAGATATTCGGAGTCCAGATATTGCTATTTGGACCAGCCCTAGATGTTACCTGAAATTAATTAAATAGCCCACATATATATCGGTATCGGTATTGGTTGATAACGCAATCAGAAATTGAGAGTTGGACAACATCGGCATATCGGTTTTTGGCAAAAAAAAAAAAAAAAAGCCTAGATCAGACATCACTAATGGAAACAGACGCAAGTAGTAAAAGATCTATACTATTTAGAGTCATCATTTCTTCAGTACTGGTCACATGTGTGGACATTAAGGAAAATGCTGCATTTGTTGATTGCAGGTTTTTTCTTAAAAAAATGTTTGTAAAGGAAGCAATCAAAGTAAATCAAGTTTCAATTTCCCTTATTCAAGATTTGAGGCATTGTAACACCATCATGTTGCACAGAAGGCAATGTTGACTTATCTCTACTTCTAACCACAGTTGTGCTGTTTACATTGAGCTGCAGGACTTTATATTGCCGTAAAAAAAACAAAAAAACCCCACAGTGATTAAAAATGTGACAGGAGCGAACAAACACAACGAAATTGCTTGAAGTGACAGTTTACACTAAAACTGCGACCAAGAAAAGCTTGTAAAATGGTGGTTGCTTTGCCCCAAAGTGCACTGAGAAACTAACCAAGCGATGAATACCATGAATCAGTTCATGTAATAAAAAATAAAATCAAACACAGTTTTTATCCCACGGCTTCATTGTCTGGTTGACCACGGCAGATTTGTCTCTCACAGACACAAACAGGTGGCAGGCTAACAGAAATGTGTGCTGACTTTTTTTTTCTCTTTTTCTTAGACATCAACAGTCCTTTTGTTAAACTGTGTGAAGTAATAACTCCAGTCGTAGTGCAAGACAGAACACTCATTTGCATATAAGTCTAGTTGTTTTGCGAAATGAACATTAAAAAGAGCTGCTGTGACTTTCTTCTGTCTTACAAATTCGACGACGACATCCACCCTAAGATGCAGTTTAGAAACGAATTCTATTTTTAGATAAATGAAAAGAAACATGTTTCCAATCCTGTAAATTGTTTTCTGCCTAACTCACCATCACACAAGGGAAAAAAACAGACTTCAGCTTCAATCAAGTTTTCCTTGTCATATAGAATACGTCAGTGTTTTGTTTTGTTTTTTTTCTTGTGCAAGCCTTCCAGTCTGCCCCTTGTGTTTGTACGGTTTGCAACAAGCTTTACATGCCTCACCTCATTTGTATGTGGGCTCTGTGAGTCAGTGATTTACTCCAGAAACTGGTTACGGTATTCATTTCCGTGTTTGTCTTTCCTCCTCGGTGTGTGTGTGTGTGTGTGTGTGTGTGTGTGTGTGTGTGTGTGTGTGTGTGNTGTGTGTGTGTGTGTGTGTGTGTGTGTGTGTGTGTGTGTGTGTGTGTGTGCGTGCGCGCGCATGCGCGTGCAGTGTATCCACAGGGATCTTGCAGCCAGAAACATTCTGCTGACTCACGGCAGGGTGGCTAAGATCTGTGACTTCGGCTTGGCACGAGACATCACCACTGACGCCAGCTACGTGCTCCGGGGAAACGTGAGTCTGTGTCAGTCTGCCCCTCCCCTTCCACTTCATCCTTTCTTCCTCACTTGTTACTCGCTTTTTCCCTGCTTTTGTTCCCTCTCAGTCTGCAAATCAAAAAAAAAAAGGAAGACTCCCGCGCATACCTCTCTTTTGTGTCCCTGAACGGTTCACCAAAACAATGCATCCATGTGAAAGAATGTAGGGCTGCCACTAATTATTACTTTCATTATGATTAACCATCTGTCATTTAGGCTTCAAAATATCAGAAAGTAGAGAAAAATGCCTTTTGCGGTTCTTTGAAAATAGGGCGATGTTGTTCAATTGTTTGTTTTGTCAAGTCAAGTAATACATTTAATATTATATTAGACAAGAAAATACAGCAAATCCTCTTTAATTTGCACATGAAGATTTGTGTAATATTACCCCTTGGAACCCCAAAACCCACCAGTGGGCATGAAAAGCATGTTGTCCTTAAAACATCGTCAAAATTACACTATTTATTCATGCCAGAAACTGTAAAAACAGGAAATAATTCTCAGATTTTCAGCGTTCTGGCGCTCCTTGAATGTGTAATGTGGGGCTCACCTTCTGTCTGGAAAATTAACCAAATCTAAGCTTAAGATTTCATCAAAATCACTTGATTCTACATGTTTATTTCAATTTAAATGCTCAAATGAGACTTTTTGTGGTTGAGGTTCTAAAGGGATATTGTAATGTTTGCCATTCAAGCTTAAATGAAGTATTTGCTGAGTATTTTCTCACTGGAATTCATCTACAGCTGTGGAAAAGCTTTTCTCCTTAATACACTATATGGAAAATGTCGATCTTTTATAGAGATGTTAAATGTTTCTGTGAATGAGGACAGGGGATCATGGCTCTCCCTCTTGCAGGCTCGTCTGCCGGTCAAGTGGATGTCTCCGGAGAGTATTTTTGACTGTGTCTACACCTTCGAGAGTGACGTGTGGTCCTACGGCATCCTGCTCTGGGAAATCTTCTCTCTGGGTAACATTTCCAGTTAGTGCTGTGCCGTTGTGTGTATTTCGTAATGTCTGGCCCATTATGTTGATCCATTTGAGCTGACCGGGGCGTTATTAGAGACTCTGCTGATGCTCCCAAGCAGCAGCGTCACTTAGTGGAGCGTATTATGCAAAATGATATTGATTGAGAAACTTGCAGCAGTGTACAAATCCATTGTTTTATTTTTGTGTTGTGGTGTTGCAGGTAATAGCCCTTATCCTGGGATGCAGGTTGGATCGGCCTTTTATAGAATGATTCAGGAAGGCCACAGGATGAATAGGCCTGAGTTTGCTCCCATTGAAATGTGAGTGTCTCTGAGAGTTTTCTATGATGATTTTTCAAATAATCCCTGAATAGAAAACTTGTTTATTGCTAGTTTTGTTCAAGCCCTGAACACTAAACTACACACAAGTATACAAAAAACTTCACAAAATCCGCAAATCCTTACATTAAAGAACCTGAAACCAGGGAATTTCGATTAGATTATAGCTGGTTATTCATTTTATTATCATCGACAAATCAGTTATTTGACGCATTGTTGTGGTTCTAATTTATCACCAGTGCCTCCTTCATTATTAGCTTTTCTTATAAATATCTATCATGTAACTAAAACCTGCATTCTTTCTAATGACCAACAGGGGGAAACCTCTGGTTGCAAAAACATACAAACAAAAAAAAAACTGTAAAATTGTATAAAAGTCTACAAGAAAATGAACCTGCTTCTCCTTTGATTTGTTGCCTCAGTAAAAATTGTCTTTATGATGTTATTGTCTCAATTGCTAGTTTCAAGTCTCATTCAATATAGCATGAAGTTAATTTAGTAAATTATGTTCCCATTTAAAGTAAAATAGACGATAAAGCAGGGTATTGTGCCACATATCACAGAGGTGGAATACATTATTAAGACATATGTGCAACAAAATATATAGAACTATCCATCCATTATCTATACACCACTTAATCCTCACTAGAGTCGCAGGGGGGCTGGAGCCTATCCCAGCTGACTCAGGGTGAAGGCAGGGGACACCCTGGACAGGTCACCAGTCTATCACAGGGCCACACTTAGAGACAGACAACCAAGCACACTCACATTCACACCTACGGACAATTTACAATCACCAGTTAATATAATATAGTCAATTTGTTTTTGGACTGTGTGGGAGGAAGCCGGAGACCCCGGAGAGAACCCACGCTGCACGGGGAGAACATGCAAACTCGACACAGAAAGATCCCGGGTGTCCTCACTGGGACGCGAACCAGCGACCTTCTCGCTGCAAGGCAACGATGCTAACCACCATACCATTAACTGATAATGAAAAACACAATTAAAAAAATACAACATTGCAATGTGATGCAGTCGTCAAGGTGCATGATTTGGCATAGATGTGTAGTCAAAACATAGATCTTTGCCTACAGTCGTCCTCAAATTTATTCATACCCTCCAATTAAAGAAGGGAAAAAAACAGCTGTCACTGAAATAAGTTGAAATTGACAAAAGTAATAATAAACAAATTTTTAATGAAAATCATGACATTGCTTTTGAATTGTGGTTCAACAGACATTTAAAAAAACAAACAAACAAAAAACAAGCCAACGAGCATGATGGGACCGATAAACTAATATTTTGTTGAACAACCCTTTGAGGCAATCACTGCAGTCAAGTGTTTTCTGTAACTCTCAATCAGACTTCTGCACCTGTTGACAGGCATTTTGATTTTGGCCCACTGCTCATCAGCAAAGGGCTCTCCTTGTCTGGGACAGTTTTGTTTTGTGTTTTTTTTTTTGTTTTGTTTTGTTTTTTTTCCAGCCACAATTCAAAAGCAATGGTTATTTCACAAAATTATAATTTAGCAATTTTTAAAAAATTTATTCTTACTTTTTTTCAGTTTCTAGTTTTTTGAGTGACAATTGTGAGTTTTGCCTTTTCTTTAATGGAAGCGTATGAATAAATTTGAAGACAACTGTAGTTAGCTGCCTCTCTGTGTGTATTTTATCTGTATTCAGTGGATTGCATCACATTCCCAGATGTGTAAAGCTAATCCTGATGTCACCTCCATAGGTATGACATGATGCTGTCCTGCTGGAACCATGATCCTTTGAAACGGCCTTCCTTCAGAAAACTGGTGGAGACTACTGAACTGCTGCTGTCAGAAAATACCAAGAATGTAAGTAACAGGAAACTTTGAATTACTTATGGTATTTGTTTTGTTTTTAGCATTTTGTCTATCACACTTAGAAATTGTATGATAACTATTTTTTTGCGAAAAAGCATTCATATCCATGCTCCTCTGAAACAGGTGTATCTGACACTGAGCAACGCTCCAGGTCCTCCAGACCAGCAGAGGGCAGCGTCACGTCGGCTGAGCTCAGTCTGCAGCACAACAGCCCCCACCCAGCCTTTACTGCAGAACACGGCCGATGTCTTCCAGGACTATGTCTGACAAACACAGAAACGCAGTGTGACACATCTGTACACAACCCCTTACTTTTGTCACACACTCCACAACTAACAACATTCAAAGTCCATTCAAACTAACGCTCAAACGCTGGCCTTCCTGCACACACATGCACACACACACACATCTAAGACAGTGTATATATAAATATATATATATACAAGCCTGCCCTGGGCTCTCAGCCTCTATCTACTCTTCCCATCGGCATATCGAACTCTGTGGTAGGTATTTCAGGTGCACATCTATATAAAGCAGACTACAGCACTAACCAACCATCAGATACAAAATTCTGGCTCACATTCAGCCTTAGATTACATCTTAAGATGCTTTAAGGAGAGCAAAGACAACAAGTACATGTACATAACTGACTGGGGGGGTGACACTAAATAAGCAGAGGTGGTGATGACAAGATGTTGAGTTAATTTGTCTCCTGTTTTATTGGAATGTTTTTGACATTTTGGGGGAATACACGCTTTCTTGTGGAGAGTGAGACGAGAAGATTGAAAGAAAATCCTCATGTCTGTGTGTTAAGTGGAGGTTTAGTTTAGAGTTAAGGGTGGAAACAAAACTGCAAAAGCAAAATCTGCATACCAGCATTTCTAAAGCTCAACCTAGTACCCAAAGTGTAAAAATGTTAAGTTGTGTGTGGTAAGAATGAGTCTGGTGATCCTCTGTAGAATCACCACTTGCAGACTCAACTCAAAAAATTAACTTTCAGTTGCTAGTATTAGTAGTAATGTAGTCATCAACACATAATGCAGGATTTTCTATATTTTACAGTCAAATCCCTCACTGCCATTTGCTGGCCCATTGACCTTTGTTCTTCTGTGGTTTGGCATGTGCAGTTTTAGCGAATTGTTGTATCTGTTTATGAAGCACTTCGTTCTGAGTTAAAGTTACTCACTCCGCTATGTCGTATTATATGTATAGTACAAAAGCACTCTTGTGTAACCCACATACACACAAAAAAGACATTTCTGGCTCCAACTCTGTATTTAAAAGTCAGATATAACAGTGGTATCATTCTTCTCAACTTACCCTCAGAAAGAGTAGTTCCCAAAAAATGTCAAATCTTAGTTCAGTCATTGTCACTGGGCTGGGGAGAAGTTGTCAGCAAGCCTACTTTAAACATGCTCTCAATGCGCCTTGAAATAAAAGCACTGTACGTCTCACCTGGGAGCCTCGAAGAGAGACAACTGAGCCATAGTAAGAGTGGCATGCAAGCGATAATTCCTAATAATAATACAAAAAAATAAAGCCATAAGTTACAGAAACACTGACTCCCACCTGTGTGTTGTAGCTTTGAATACTGTGACTTAAAACAAAAGACTAACTGGTGTGTTGCTGTTTGTATTTTCTGGATAACTTTAGCCTCTTTAGCAAAGCCATCGTGGCCAAGGGTTTAGGACTGATTGTGTGCTTTTTACTTGATTTATGTCAAAAATGTATGCAATGTAAATACAATAGAGATGTGCCTTTAGATTCTTTTTTTGTTTTTGTTTGTTTTTTGTTTTTATTACTGGATGCATTTGTTTGTGACAGTTACTGGTGAGAGAGCGGGCAGAACGGAGCTTCTGCAGTTTTGATACAGTTGGTTGACTTGTAATAATAAAGGAAGTACCTGTGATGGTAGAACCAACTGCAGAGTGCCTGTTTCCTTTCTCATTCTCCTCTTTCTGTGAAATAAGACGCACTAGAGGCTCTCTGTGCAGGCCTAAATGCAAACTACACGTACTCACAAAGACTGCTATAATGTTTACCATGTTCATCACAGAAGTGTACAATTCTACAATTGAATCAGCAGATTGAACAGAGTTTGGTAACTCGTTCCACCACCGGGGTACCACAGAGGAGAAGTCTAGCTACCAACCTCGGGCCCTGTTGTGATAACAGGTGGCTTTTGTTGTCCAAGTGTAGAATCTTAGCATTCTATCATTTGCTACACTAAACACGAAAAGTTTTGCAGTTATATTTGGATCGCACCGATAGAGTTTCAGTGGTTACGCAGACACGTGTGTCTGCATAACCACTAATGTGAACCTGATGGTGGCACTAAATTGAAGTCACGGTATTCTCCAAAGTCAGTATTTCATTGGTGGGTGTGACACTCCTGGAGCCATGCTGCTAGCATGCCTGACAACACAGCAGAAAACACCAGAACTGCAGCAGATGTGTCACGTTTAATATCTGCAACTGTTTTTTTTTTTTTAAATTTTTTTATTTTCAAATTGACCAAGAGGAGGGGGGAGGGGGGGTTATAATAATAGCAAACATTTTTGCTTCAAAATATTGATTATTATTACGTTTGACTTTGGGGTAGATAAAGGAGCACAGTTCAAGAGCAGAAGAAGGGATATACATACATACATACAGTACAGGTAAGCATAGCACCGTTTTACACTGAATACTGGTGTTCTTAGCTTTGTGTATGTGTACAGTATTATACTAGAACTAGAACTCTTTAGAACCAAATGGTGTAGTGGAAAGGTGATCTGTGTATCTGTGGGGGGGGGGCTTGCTGTCTTGTCAATGGTGTCCCATATCAAATATCCTACACCTCACATTTCAACAGTTTTTGAACTCTTGTCTTTTTTTTTTTAACCAACCACATGTCATCAGAAACACACTGTTGCAAAAACAAACCGATAGTTTAAAATGGTGAAACATTCAAAGGATTTTTTTTTACAATGCAAAGCCATATATGTAAGACTGCATTTCAGATTTCTGTATGTGGATACTTGTGGTGAGAATTGTCATTTTCTTTCACACCCCTCCTTTTTCCTTCATCACAAAGCCTGTCTAAAAGTTCTCCATAATTAACAGTTACAACATCCATTAGTCTCTTTAAAACACCTTTACATTCTTTGGGCTGGGTATCAGTGACACAAACTATAAACATTTCAACACTACCCTTTAGAGTGAGGCCTTAAACACAAACTAGTTTATAGAGGATCTACATTTGCTATGTGACGGGTGGAAGACCTGGTTCAAACAGTATGAGCCTGCCTGTGAAATCGCTCCACTATTCCTTATTTGTGGACAAAGTCAGAAAGACTCGTTCCTGCTAAGTCGCACAAATGGCTAGTTCATCTATATTTATCGCAGAGGATTAGTATTTGAGACCTGACTGCTGTGTAGTTAAACTGCTTGCTGAGCAGGCTGTCAATGTAAAACAATAACAGCACCCATTTTCTTTATAGCCTAACAGGTGACCAGTGCTCTGCAATGCCTAACATCCATCCTTTCCCAGTCACGCATCTGTTTCCATATGAAAATATAATGGGTTACACTGACAGTTAACATGCATACACACACTCTCTCTCTCTTACACACACACAAACATGTATTCAAGTTGAGCTGTCCCACACCCAGGCTTGCACAATACTGAGCCCAACCAGAGAGGACGTTTCTTGAAAATTACAATTATTCCTTTATACTGCAACGCAAGAACTGATTGGCTATCGCCAGGGGAAACCAATGCTGACCCCCGAGTGATACAAGAAGTAGGATCAAGGAAAAAGAGATGCTATATTCACACAAATGCGCACACACACTCACACATGCCGTCTTTACTACACTCTGAGACAAAACAACACATTCTAAATGCTCCTTTGCCAACCATTACACTTCCTCCAATCCAAGGCTTTTCTGTTTGATATGGCTTATCACTGTAGTACGCAGGCTGAGCCCAAATACACTTTTGTCTTTTAAAATGGACTTGGGCCCAGACCCGCTTTTAACTGCTGTTTGAGAACTGAGACTAATGAACTGAACTGCATGAGGGTTTCTGAGGCCTAGGAAGAGAAAGGATAAAACACTGATGATACAGTAGACCATGAGACAGTTAGCAGAAATGCAAATTGGCAGGGACAATGAAGTCAATCTTTTCCAATCAGGGTGAACGCTAAAGGGTTTCATCTATATTTCTGCTCAACAACTCCCTCCAACCTCAACAAAATAGTGCATTTTTACTCGTTTCTTTGGAGGCTTCCCGCTCTGTTTCTGTTTTGATAAGGAAACATGGAAAGCTCTGAGAAATCTGGGTCAAATTTGATTCAGTCACCACACCCTTTATGACAATTCTTCCTCTGGTCTTTAAAGCATCACTGTCTAATCCTTTCTGGTCTGGTTCCAGGCTGAGGCAGAAGCAAAAAACTTTCCACATTCCTGAGAGTACAAGTACCATCCAGCAACTTCATGTCCTTACTAAGTCAATTACTGTAAGACACAAGGGGCAACAAACAAACACACACACACACTCACCAGTCACAGACACTCAAGGTCGCTCATGCACACCAAGATTGTATTCTCAAAAAACACACATTAGCTCACAGAATCACACCACAGATTACAAACAACTAGGTCTCGACAGTGATTTACTGTACACAACCACATCAAGTGCTAAAGTTTCAGGAGGTTGAGGATATACTGTTTGTTACGTATAGGGCTCTCTGACTGTTAAAAAATAATCCCTACTATATACACACGCATTAACTTTATTAGGGGTAATATCTTGTTGGAAAATATATACGCCTTTGAATAGTTTGCTTGAAATAAAAAAAACAAAAAAAAACATAATTGACTATGTTATTGGCACTTGGAATCACTAAACCCGTTATACGTACAGTGATCACCCTGCAAATAATTCAGTTGAACTGCAATCTGGTTGCTTGCCAAACATGATTTGTAATTACAAAGTTAAAAGAGCCATTTTTGTCTCAGAGACGGTGTTGAAAAACACAATTTCCACAAAAAAACCCCAGGCCCAACCATTTTTTTTAAAACACACTGACAGAACTTTAAAGCCTCGTTCTGGACATTTTTTTTAAGAGAAGGGGGGAGGGGGCCTAAGAGAGCACGTCACTGCTCCATCTTTGACCAGAAAACACTTAAACAAAGTAAAAATTCATTTTTCAAAAGCGACTAATAAAAGCTTACACAGTTATTCTTTCCATGCAATCATATAAAATACTACATTTCTGTTTTCTGTTAGGCTATATTGGATATTTACAAGTTTTTTTTTATCATACAGTAAATCTGTACAAGGTCAGTCCATTTTGACACACCTTCAAAAAGAGTCAGTCGTTACCGCAGCGATAAGGTGTTTCTCTATTTTTTTTCAGGTCTCCACGGAGACTGGAGCTCCCTCACAATCCCGCCTCCAGTGAGGGAAACAGGGATTTTAATCCATCCTGTTGCCATGGTGACAAACTTTGGTGAGTTCCTCGAGGACTCACAGACTTTCCTCTTTCCCATGATTCATTTCTTTCAGATGGAGGAAGGGGGGGGGGGGTTCGTGACAGCCACACAACCAAAACTAATGTATGCAGCAATCCCTTAAGAGTTTCAGTTCCCCAGATTTTCTCACTTGACATATTTTCCCGAAGACTTCACTGTGGTTGGCTGCTGACACTGTCAGTCCTGTGTGTTGATGGGGCTTTCGGCTGTTTCTGGGGCTGCGGTTTTAGCTGCTGCTGGTGCCTCTGGTGGTGAGATTGTTGCTGCTGTTGTTGTTGTTGTTGCTGCTGTTGTCTTTGCTGCTGCTGCTGCTGCTGTTGTTGTTGTTGTTGCTGTTGCTGCTGTGTTTGCTGGGGATGTGTTGCTTGGGTGAAAGTTCCCTGTTGTTGGAGTGGGAAAGCTGCCTGTAGTATCAGCTGGGTGGACTGGTTACTATGGAGCAGACGAGTGCCCTGGCAGCAAAATAATGCAACAATATTAGAATATGAAGCAGGTTCCTCTTTTATTCTCATTCTTTAATTTTAGTAAAAGTTTCTCTCTCTTCTGACACACTGTACATATGCATAAACACCTTAGGTTTAAATGCTGCTGCAGCTATTCTGTTAGCTGTAGTTATATTATTTCAGAGTTATTCTATGTAGCATAGAGACAACAAATATTTTCAGAAATATATCAGAATAACAAAATATGGTAAAGATACATTTCCATGTCTCCAAAATGTCTTAAATCAATGACATTTTCTGACTTGTGTTGATACCTGTAGGAATTGTTGTTGTTGCTGCTGCCCCTGTTGGCTGCTCTGTGCCACAACAGCTGTCTGGTTTTGACCGTCGGGCTGACCTTGAGGCGGCTGGGCCGGTTGTAGGGTCAGGGTTTGGGTCTGCCCTCCCTGCTGAAGTGATACAGAGTGTTAACAAAGATTTTTTTTTTAAATGTAGCCCAAGACAGGACCAAAAAAGACTGAAGAATTTCCCTACATTAGTTTTATGTAGAATACTGTCGTTTACCGCATTCAGAGATACGATGCTTTAAGCTCTAACTCTATGATTCTTCTTAATACATGTGTGATCCACTTTTTGAAGATATTTTTGCACCAGAGAGACAGATTAACTATCAACATTGTCAAACATTAAATCTGTGTTGTTGACAGGTAACATACATGTGTCTGGTATTGGCTTGCAGTCTTTGGGTTTCAAGGACTTGACAAAAGTTAAGGTATTTTCAAAATTTAAAAAAAGAAGCTTTTTTTTTTTTTTAATGCTAAACACTATTGAGAGAGAGTTTAATCTTTGTAAAGGACTTCTAGGCCCAGATATTTTGATCTATTGTCCTGATGCGCAATTAGCTTGCATTTTGGTCTTTTCATTCCAAATGCCAGTGCCAAGCTTTTTAAGGAAAAATGTTTACAAGACTGATTTACGAGTTAATATGTTTAAAAAAGAGGAAAAAAATCTGTTTTTGGACGTGCCAAAGGACTTTACAGACTGTCAGCACTGAACATCTGGGTAGAACTTACTTGAATCTTAAGGGCTGTACTCAAAATAGTCCTGATCTTATACTGATGCAGTATTTTAGTTTGATTCTCTGTGTGTTTACCTGCTGACCACCAAAGGGGTTGTATGCAGTGACCACCTGCCCCATGAACATAGAGGTGGGCACCATGACTGCACCACATGCATGCATGGGAGCTGTTACTAGCTTGGTCACCAGCTGCTGCCCTGCTGGGAATCTGAGGGAAAATCAAGAAAAAGAGAAGGGATGAAAAGAAAAATTGCATCAGTGTCCACATATCATACTGAATATGTCTGCATAAACAGTGTGGCTAATTTACTGTTTGACCAAGAATCGGGTTTGATTGTTGCCTACTTACCGGATCTGTCGGTCCTGTGTGAAGGTTGCCACAGTTGTACCTTGCTGTGTGTTGGTTTGTGGCAGGCTGGTGCTGATCTGCAGCACATTTGGCTGTCCTGGCTGGGAAATCATCATGGTGTTGTATAACGGAGCCGATACAGAGCCCTGAGTCTGGGGCTGAGCCTGGGAAGGTTGTTGGGGCTGACGCTGGGGCTGTAGAGAAGCAAACAGGAAGGGCACAGCAATGATTACTGTCAAATAAAGTAGATTTATCAAGTATCTTTTTTGTAGTTTATTGCCTTTTTTCCCATTTCACTTCATAATGGCATATGTCAGATTTGAGCATACCTTAAAATACATTCATTTGATCATAAACCCACAAGAACATAGAGAAAGAAAATAAACAGAAATTTGAAACTTCAGTATGTTGCACTAAAGGCACGCTAAGATTCCTGCATTACGGAAGCCCTAAGAGGACATGTTGGTTTTTTTGTTTTTATTACAAGTCGTTTTCTTGAAATAACGAGATATTATCTCGTTATTTCAAGAAAACAGTTTGTTTTCCTGAGATATTATGTCACTATCTCGAGAAAACGAACTTTGTTTTCTCGTGACAACGAGATATTTATTCATGATCTCGCGAGTTAGGTAAAGATAGAAAGATATTCACAGATTCGCGGTTCCCGTGTCAATAAGTAATTAACGGAACATTGCTTTCAGAAAAACAACACTTATATCTGAAGCCAGTTATGTAGACTGCAAGCTACAGCTCGACTTTAAACATTACAAGCCGTTCTTCGTACGCAACGACTTCAATTGACTCCAATGCGCTGTCGGCTCTGGCTCGATCGAGCAGGGACCGTCTACAAAGTGCAATACTGAAGAGAGATGCTCCAAAAAAAATCGATAGTGTTGCCAATAGAATGGTGGGTGGGGTTTTTAATTGACCTAAATGCTCACCTCTCAGGTCTTTTAGCAAAAAATTCATTTGATGATGATGATTGGTTTGTCAAAACCTACTGTTCTTGGATTTCCTTCGAAAAGAAAGGCCTCTTTTTCTGTATACAAGTAAGTAAGATTTTTATATATATATATATATATAAAAATATATATATATTTTCCCATATCATTTCTCTCTCGATAATATCTCGTTATTTCGAGAAAACAGCTTGTTAAAAAAAAAAACAAAAAAAAACATGTCCTCTTAGGGCTTCCGTACTGCATCACTGTATACTTGCTTTTGATACACACAAATGCAGACAAGTGAAATGTGTTGCTTCTCTTCCCCCGGCTGTTTTGAATGAACTTTTTTTTATTACATGACAGGTTAATCAAATATTTCAGTGTGGGGAGTTTCTCTAACCACATCACACATGGTTTATGTGCTTAATGACACTAACAGTATTCTTTCACATGATTAAAAACACCAACAGCAGGCCCTGTGGCTCTTTCTGTCATCTGAATGAAATGTAAACATTTCAGCTTCACAGTGCAGGCCTTTGTTTGCATAGTCTATAAAATTCTCATCACAAATGTGACAAATACTGTCAAACGTTAACATAAGATTAGTATTCTCAGAGTATCTTGAATATGGAGTATGGAATTATTTTTAATCGTTTACTTTAAATGTTTCAAATAAGGCAAATTTCTCTGAGATTAAACTGAAAATAAAAATCACAAATGATGTCTTTCATTTTGAAATCACAATTATGCCACACAACAAATTAAGACAGTTTTCATTTTCACCTGTGCGAGGGCGTTGGTTTGCTGCTGTAAGTTCTGTTGAGGAGGAGGAGCTTGCTGCTGGATGGTAAGCTGCTGAGTCCCTGAATGGACAGGGTTAATCGTTGTTTGCTGGACCTGATTGGTCAAAGTGGTTGCTTGCTGGACCGACCCAACCTGAGGGAGCTGTACATTCATCGCTCCGCCCTGCTGCTGCAGCAACATCTGATGAAATGGAGACAGCAAACAATAGGTCATAGTCATCTGTACAACTAGATTTAGACTACATGCCATTATGTAAGTATGTTTATTTACGTTTTTAGCGACATCAGAATAATCAACTGAGAGAAATTATCTTTACAGGGTGTACATTCAGGTGGTGACAGTCTATTATTGCTGTTTCCTCTGAATACAAGGAAAATAATACATAATGCATAATTCTAATCCTGATCTAGGTCAGGCAAAAGCAGGTACAACTCAGCAGGAACCGACAAACACGATACCCCTACTGATCTTTTAAAGAAGAGGTGGTATTGTAGTTTTGTTCAAATAAGAACAAAAATTTGGAAAATATTGTGGGGAGAAGCCTGAATGCTACCATTTAACTCTTGGTTGTCCTCATGCAGTTACGCTGAGGACAAAACAAAGTTTGTCCGCTTATTGTCTAGTGTGCTTGGCTGTCTGTCTCTAAGTGTAGCCCTGTGATAGACTGTTGACCTGTCCAGGATGACCCTGCCTTTGCCCTAAGTCAGCTGGGATAGGCTCCATTGGAGACAATAAGCTTGACAACATTTCATAAATACACAGTCTGAGATCTAAATCAATCTGTTTTTGCAACACAAGGTTTCATTTACATTACAAAATGTTTCAGTAATCTTGTGTATGTATGTGTCTAGAGCTTACTTGTATGCCCTGTCCCTGGACTCTCTGCAGCTGCTCCTGGATGTGTCGTAGCTCCTCCTGCTGTCGCTGAATGTTGGCCTGGATCATTCTGGTCCTCTGTTCTAGTTGCTCTTTTAGGTGCTGCATGGCATTCACCTGCGCCGAGAACTCCATTACCGGCTGTTGGCAGAGAGGAAAAACATGCAATGCAATGCGTATGCAGTAAACTGATGTTTTACCTCTGATTAACATATTGTTTTCTCCATTAATAAACTCATCATTTAGTAAACAAAATGTCCAAAAAGCATGAAAAAGGCTTTTCTACAATTCCCACAGCCCAATGCGACATCTTCAATTATGATTTTAACAAACCCTTAGTCCAAGATCGAAAACTAGTTACATTTTATATTCATACTATGAAAACCAGCAATCACTAACTTTTAAGAAACTTTTGCAATTTTTACTGAAAACAAGTGACTTCCATTATTAACCTGTTGTCAAAATAAATATGTGAATGATTAAGTGAGACACCTTTTCACTGCACATTATCATGTCACAACATAACCCAAAATGCAGTATCATCATTCTCACCTGTACATTTGCCTGGAGCTGCTGTGGTTGTTGTTGTTGTTGCTGTTGTTGTTGTTGTTGCTGTTGCTGTTGCTGTTGCTGTTGCTGTTGCTGCTGCTGCTGCTGCTGCTGCTGCTGCTGCTGCTGTTGAGTTATCATGCCTGGAGTTACACTCTGTCCTGTGGTCTGAGAGCTCATAGACTGTAAAAGTACAGAAAGTTGACAAGAATTATGACAACTGAAGTGTATGACTTTCCTTAGTCCTACTGCATTTTCAACAGTTCATAAACACATTTCACAGCTATGTTCATGCATCTTCAGTCAGATGGGAAACACACACATATCGATCCATTTAGCTTTTTTGGTATTATCTTTGTTAAACTGAGGTCACACAGTCTCTTGTACTTCTCCACTTGGACAACGAATCTGTAATCATTAATACCGAGTCAGCAAAGCTGCCCCAATGTTGACTTCTGACCTTCTGAAACCTGTGACCGCAGCACACCACCCCTGCCCCTCACTCTGTCATTGAAAACACCAAGGTGATTAAGAAGAATGATGTTTGTGCCATTTGCCTTCGGTTTACAATTGTGCAGCAATGTAGAATATAAACTCACACAGGTATTATTGCATGTACAGTCCAGACCTTAGTATTTAGACATATTTTGTTTGAATTAATATACAAAGAACTGTTGGTCACACGGCCCTTTTAACACATAATGCTAGTTTAGGTTTTCAAAAGTAATCGTCAAAAAAAAAGTGAAACTAAAAGTAAAACGAAATCAGCATATTCGTTACTTTGTTGAAAATCCTTTGTAGTCTATGATTGCTACGTATCCTTGCTAGTGTTGCTATATCAGTATTTCACTTCAGCCACCTTAAGCTCGTGCTTGTCATGCGGAATATTTGTCACAAAGCAAGACTTGTGGTTTGTCCAACCTATATGTCTGAGGTCAGATTGTGCCACACAGCTTCACACAGAATGTTTTGTTTTTGTTTTTGCTTTTGTCAGCAGTGAAATCACCACTAATTGCCAGTGTGCTACTTCCACTGGCAGTCACACATGTCCCAGATATAAAAGAATCATGTTTCACAGATGAGGAGGTAAACTTCAGGTCATGACCTATTTTTTTTTTTCTCCACACTTTCCTTGTTCCATCACTGACACACTGACAGAGCTTGATTTTCACTGTATGTGTCTGTTCTTTTACTATAAGAAATTGAAAATCCAGCATTATTTGTGGTACTCGTGGCCAAATAAACAATTTCAGTAAAAAGTGAAAGTTGCTATGTATCACTATTGTTGGCCAATCATGTCTCACCTGGCTGCTGATGGATGAGCGACGCTGTGATGTCATCTCCATGGTGGAGGCCAGCGACTGCCGAGGAGGCGTGGCGGTATCCATGTGTAGCTTGGAAGCTGTTGTTGCAGAGACAGAATCATTGATGACCAAGAGTCCTATTCAGACACTGCTGACGATATCATTTCATCTTCCTGCAGGGCTTAGTCATTCCACTTAAGCCCAGAACAGATGTGTCACTGACTCCTCTCTGAAGTATATGACTGGGACTAACTAATTGACATTAAGCATGTACAGGCAACTCTGTGTGTCCTTACAAGTGCAAGTGTTGTCAGAGACATGTGATGAGGACTTGCGGGAGCTTCGCGAGGAGGTTGAGGGTGTTCGGCTGTGGTCAAATCGCTCCAGAGCCTCCTTCAAGCTGGATGTGTTGAGCTGTGACTCTGAGCCAGAGTCCTGGCTCTACAAAATAAAAGAGAAAATATATTAGGTGGCTGCTCCTTTAAAAAAAAAATTTTTTTAAAAATTGACACAGGTCCAAAATGTAAGTGAACAAAGCATCCGTCAGCATAAAATCTATGAAATCAGAATCCAAGCAAACAATAACTACTCATGCACTTTGTCTGCTATCCTACAATACACACTGATAGCTGTTACACACGTGCATAAAGGATAATTTATCAATAATGAATACTGAGAGATTAATAACCACTATCCAAATGTTGTTTCTGTTTCTGCATTCCTCTCAAACTTTGATTTATGTTACATCTGTTGTTCTCCTATTGATGTCATTACTGAAAAAGGGAAAAGCCCCTTTCACTGAGATAACGTCAGAAAACAACAGTCATTTGGTCAGTTTTGTGGACAGTGGACATGTGACAAATATTAATCGGCAGTAGGAACTTGCTGTGGGAAGTTAATGGATAATATGGAACAGAAGGTGTTTGACCATTGTAGGAGACAGTTACATTAAACACAAGTTTCAGGACTTCATGTGGACATATCTAACAATATAATGGCTCCTACTGAGGTGGAATTTATTGCTTTTTATGTGCAGCATCTTGTCTTTACAGAATTGTAGTCAATCAGTTAATCCATGTTCAATTATACTTGCTAAGGCTTAAGAAACAGAAAAACACATTTCGTCAAGTCAAGTTTTGCTTTAAAATTCTCCCTAATGCTTGACATGTTGTGATTTCTTTAATTAGTGGGATTATGTATGATGAAAACAAATGCCTATGGACAATTTCTAGAAGTTATTATTTACCTTATCCACAGTGACTTCTGGATTAGACTCCTCAATGCCAAGCTCTCTGCGTTGTTCTGCCCTCACCTCTGCATAGCTGCATTTTAGACAAAAAAAAGGGGAGTTTAGTGAAGAAGCTAGAAAGTGGTGCACATGAGCGATGTGACAATATAAACATACGGTGTGACCAGTTAACATATAATTAAAATGAATACACAAAAAGCCTTATATTCTATTAGACTAACAGTTTGGAAATGTCATGTGATTGTAACAAACCATCAGCACATGAAAACAGGAAGTTGAGACAGACAAACTGATTATACCTGACTACTGTGTGAGTGCACACAATAAACTCTGGTCGGGAGTTCCACTGATGATAGGTGATGTAGTAGTGTGTCTGTAGCCAGATCCACTGTTGACCTTTAGTCAGGAAACGGTAGTAGCATGACTTCCCTTTACCATACTGCATCACTGAGCATTGGAGGGGCAAAGGCAAGCAAAAGCAAAGATAGTACAAACAACAAGTTTAGAAAGGCTTTTACAAGTGCGTAATTGAATATGAGAAAATGAGAGCCCTTACAGTGTTCGTGACATTTGGCTAGCGTCTCCAGGTCGTCCACATGGTAATAGTCGTACCCTGATGTTCCCAGAACCTCAAAAGGCAGGTAGCCTATGATTGGTGGAGCTCTGAAAAGAAAACAAAACAAAAAAAAGCATATCCTTATTGTGTTGTTGATGTGAGACTGCTGAACAGATACTGGTACACAGCAATCAAGAGTCAACTTGGATATACAATCAGGGTTTGTTGTTTGCTTGTTCACAATAATTCACTAAAATCAGAAAAAAATTGCACTGTATAACGAAAACATGTTGGTTTAGTGGTGGAAAAGGGAAATCCAGGATCATCTGCAAATTTCTTTTCTGCTTGTTTGACAGGTAGTACTCGCAGTTGATTTCAAATATGACGAATGAGCATCGGCAGCCAGTCAAGTTTTAATGCAACCAAGTTTTTTTTCATTCCATCAGTGTGTTTACTCGTAGTGCTCATGTTGTGAGCACAGATGCATTTGTGTGCAAGAAAAGCTCAACTCAACTGATTTTAGCACCTTTCACCCCAACTGTCCTAAAACCTATCCCCCAGCAGGCACAACTCACATATTAGAATAACTAGGTGCGAATAGGCTTCAGTAAAGTGAATCAAAAGAGGGCAAATGAGACAATTATTAATGGTCAAGTATTTCTTGGAAGAACTAGCTCATACAACATTCTACCAGGGTGGAAGTCAAAAGTGCTTATATTTGTTTAGAATGACCCCAATGGCCATAAGCAACATTGTTTAAACATAAAATATAAGGATCACAGTCAGTGCACATTTACAAACAGCCTCTTCTGGAGGGACCAAAGTGTTGCACCCAGCTTGTTACATAAAAAGGGACAGAAATAACTGTCAAGTATGAAAAACAAGAGCTTGACAAGTTCCTGGCTCCTCTCTCTTACATCTGCGCAGCTCGCCAATCAAAACATAAAGTGGGTGTGCATGTTGTCAGTTTCAGAAAGTTACAAAAATGTTCGAACACAGCCACTCCTCATCTGACACCAGAAAGGTGTGTGCGTGTGAGAATTTTGACAAACCAGCAAACAGTTCTGATTGAGTGTACTGGCAGCTTAAGGATCAATGTACAATTAAATGTGTGTATCCGTGTATTTACCTATGATCTAAGAAGAGGAATTTCCATTCTAAACTGTGCCTGGAGGTGAATTCTTCATTTGGCTCCTCCACTGTACACATTTCCTATGAATATACAAGAAAAATCAGGTTTAAAGATGAGGTATATTAAATAAAATGACAGATTAGTTACCAAAGTGAGTGCATGTCTCAACAATACCTTGATAAATTGAGGTTTGGCCAGCCGGACTGTGGCTACAAAGCACACTTGGTCATCGAAGGCAGGTTGTAGTGACCGCTGTAACACCCCTGCCAGACCGTTCCTCGTAACATTGGGTACTGCACAACAGAGAACAGAGCTGTTTACTATGTCAGTCAAGCAATATATAGCTATATATGGCTCTGTGTGGCTCTGAAAGTAGGGCATCGAATGACCACTTCCAAGATTAGCACATGACTGATGGCACTGTGAAAAATGTATGCATTGTTCAGCTTACAATCAATGGCAAAATACAGTTTTAGCAACTTCTACTTAAAATGGGCTTGACACACAAAGTTTTATGTCACATTACACTGGAGCACCTGTAAGCATACATGCTTGTTAGACGCAATAGCGAATAAAAAAATGATTTTAAACTTGTAAGAGATTGACATGTTGTTTTAATCCTGTTTAAAAGTTCTTAAATGTCTCACATGCAATCTTGTCAAATTGAACCAAAATTTAAAAAACATACTTGAGACTAGTGACGTACCATTATTGAGAGACTTGAAGTTGCCGATGAACTTAACATATTCATAGACAGGGGGTTGTTTGGGGTCAATGGCCCCTCGCAGCATATGACAGCAGAACTCCATATGGTTCTTAGCTGCAAACAACAACAAAAAATAGCAATTACAAAAAAAAAACCAAAAAAACAACTGCTGTGGCATCCAGGATACACATTGTTCATGTTTTCAAAAATGTTTTATGGCACTGGAAGGAAATCAAGACAAACAGAGATGAAGCTGCCTCAGCATCATTCAAAAAACGAGACAGACTTTTTGTGTTGCTGCACTAAGAACAAATAGTGGGTCTTTGTTTAGCTGTTCCAGTCAGAAAAGATCAAACTTACGATAAGACTGATCCCTGCGGTTAAATTCACATGTTCAGTTATACACTATGTTAAAGTTTTTCTTGTCTTGATCTTTTTCAGCGATATCACCACAATGTTTTATTACAGTCAATGGGATATGCAGTATGGGTTGTTAGCTGTGATGTTTTGTTTCAGGTTTTTCTTTGGATATTAAGGCCAAAACACACAATATATTAATTTTAAATCTGGTAACAGTGAATAACAATCCCACTGAAGACACAATTCAAGCATGAAGTACGGTACAAAATGACTAGGTGTTACTGACTCTTCAGGTAATCGGTGCTAAGGCTCTCTGGGTCAGTGGGATGTGTGGACAGAGCCTTGTACACTTCGGAGTGTTCCCCAACTGGCAGGAAGTTTAACAGGTTCTGGTCCACCAAGTCCGCCTGAGAAACACACACATTCATATATGAGAACAAAAACACAAATCATAAAACAGGCTAACCCTTTTCAGTACACACGGTCATCTTGACATGTTTAATCTCAATCACAGACAAAAATTCCTGTTAAAACTTGTTTTACAATGCAGTGGATTAGTAATACATACCAGACAAGAGGAAGAACCAGTGTTACTCACCGGTAGGTGTTCTAGTAATGAGGTGACACTCTCAGAGACGTAGAGGATGTTACCATCAGTCATTATTGCTATAAAGAACCCATCCAGAGCCTGATAAAGAAGGCAAAAAGACCAGTATGAAATGTTGTTCTACAGTAGAATAATAAGCAGGCTGTCATGAGTAAAGACTAACATTAATTAAAAAAGAACTTAAATGACTTTAATGAATCAGTTGACATTATTTACATCAGAACAAATTTAAAACTATACACAGATAAACGCAAGTTGAAATGGTTTAGGACTTGGATATGAAAACCATACCACAGCATCGACATAAGAGTGCCTCTAACACCATCAATGTCACCAAACAGACAGAATTACAGTACACAGTGTGAGATTTCTGACCTCCAGCATGAGCTGGGTGAACTCTTCATTGCTAAGAAATGGAGGCTTCCAGTCCTGCCTGATCTCACTCGACTCTGACTGAGCTGCGTTCTCTGATAAAGAAGAGAGAATACAATTAGAGTTCTACGAGGACGAATGTCTTTCAGGAAAATGTCAAGTGGGGGAAAGCATGATGAGGTGACAGCACATAAAAGAGTCAGCACAAATTGCATGGAGCCAACACAAAACAACTGGTTGCAAAAATGTTTTCAGAGTACAAGACCCATAGCAAAAGCACAGCATGTAACCTGAACTCCAGATAACGCAGTGCGCCAGTGCAATGGCAGCTGATATGCAGTTATCTTGTACAGCAGTGATAAGCTATGATTAAAAGCGATATTAGTCCTTGCACAGTGATTAAATATTTGAGGACAAAACAACCTAGTGGATAAAATTAGAGTCATCAAATTTCAATAATTAATAATTTAGTCAAAACGTGCACTTGACGTGCACAGCATTCATGTCTCATTAAAAGTATAACAAAAACATGTTTTTTATGAAGTGATGAAGGTAAATAAGCTTTGACAGCAGTGCACATAAAAGTGAACGATGAACCTAAATATAGAACAAGAAATGTCCACCTTGTGAGGTGTCAAACAGAAACACAGGAAGTGAGGTGAGGGTGGTAGAAAGCTCTGACCTTTGTGTTTACACAGGAAGTCAATGCTTTTCTGCAGGATGGTGGACTTGTCCATCTTCCTTGTGTTGCCCGGCAACATTGTGCCAAGTTCCTTGATGAGGACATTGAACTGGTCTCTCCGTTTCTTCTCTGACTTGTTACGGGACACGCTACAATCCAAACCACGGTTACAAATTACATTGTAATTGATAGACAAGTGAACTCTCTGAAGGAACTAAAAACTTAATCTTGCTCATCTTTTATAAATATATAATGCAAGGTTTTGAGTGCATACTACAATAATCATCAATCCAGTGTGTGTTTAGCTTTATATCTAGCATACCGTTTTGCTTTGTCCTTTTCATCTTCTTCCATCAACCCATCAAAGATGCTACAATCATCCCTGAAGGAGGAGAAATAATATTTACATACTTTTACGTACTCACTTTATGTTGATGCATGTTTGTTGGAAACTTGAAAGCAGATATGTATTGTTAATAATAGCTAACGACGGATGTTGGCTAATGAGAGGATTCCTACTGTACATGCCAGCAGCAGGTTTATTTTTGGGTCACACAAAAAAAGAGTGAGACAGAGAGGGAGAAGGAATGTGTTGTGCTTGCCAAGAAGGTTAAGCGCATTTGAGAAACAGGGTGTGTCCTTGGCAATGTTTCAATTAATATCAGTCAAATCACTTTCAGTTGTACTAATGGATGATGTCCGAAGCTATAATTAAATTTTTAAATTCAAATATTTTCTTTCAAAAGCACACAAGAAAGGAAGATAGAGATACACATAAGATAAGATGGCTTTACATTTTTGCAAACACATAATTGGAAATGTTGCACATGTGCATATGAGTATATAGTGTTTACAGTATGTATGACATCTTGATTTATTTTGTGCTTCTGGGTGTGTGTGGTACATACGCTATGCTTGATGTCATGGTGGCTGCTGATCAGGGCTGTGGCTGCAGTGATTTGTTCTTTAGGCGTGAGGTAGGCATTTGGAAGACCGCCTAGAGGGACAAAAAAAGATATTGTTTGAGTTTATTTACCAGTTATATTCATATTGTACTTTAGTGGACTAAAAACTGCAGTGACAACCTTTAAATAGTGCCAGTTTTCTATAAATTAAACCTGCAAATGATTGAGAATCAAATGATGATCCTGTCAAGATTCCCATTCCCAATGAGTTGCCTACATTACAACATATTTGCAAGTGCATACAGGTATTAAGTAACACATTACCTGAACATTTTTCAAAAAATAAAAAGCTAAATCTATAATTGTGAACTTGATTACGAAGTCCTTGCTGACAAATGCCACAAAACACAGGTATTCCTGTATTCATTTATGCTAATGCTGTTCTTTCACACTAATTACAGTTAATAGCATTTCATATTTGTGGTTAGTAAAACATCATAACATATATTGCAACATGTGTAACCAAATTTTAAACATTCTTATGAACTAATTTAAGTGTATCACAACGCAGCTATGTGTGGGTCTGTGTAGTCACTTCTCACCCCACTGCAGCTTATGCACACGGTCAGTCAACGTCTTTTCTCAGGGGTTGTAGAAAGGGTTTGGGGTGAAAGCTGACTCTACAGTCAAAAGTGGTGTTGAGGTCATTGGGGTCACGAGAGTGCACCAGAATGCAGAAAAGACATGGTGGTCAAGCAAACCTGTTGAAAAAATCAGAACAGAAATTTGGGGTCATGTGGGGTCAACAGGTCAGTCTGAGCACAGCTTTGAGTAATTTGCTGTGTTCACAGCTACCATCAGGACAACGAATTAAATTCTCTCTTTGTCAAGCTTATATTTAACAATAGCAAATGAATTTTGTTTTCCACAACCTGAAAAGTCATACACAGAACAAAAACTTTGCTGCAATCTGCATAAACACAACAAATTCAAAAAAAAAAAAAAAGTGTAATATTAGATGTCTTTATTTTTTAATGAGATGCAGACCTCCGTATAACAAAACAAATGTTATTCCACTGCTGTTGATTTATAAGGTCACCAGCTAGTGGTAAAGGTCACCTCAGTGATTCATGAACCATTTTTCTTTATTTTTTTAAGAACTCGTTTTAATTTGTGCAACCTAACACATTGAATTCTGCATCAAAAATGAAGAGCTGCTTCCAAGCAATGCTGCCAGCAGCTGTTTTGGTGCAAGTATTTAAATTCTAGCTAACTTAATAATAAATAAACTAATAAATAAAATAAACTGTATGAAATAAGGGGCTAGAATCCCTATTTAATGTGCCACAGCATTTTAAAGTGTGAAAAACATACAGCCATTCAGCAAGGAGAGCCTGGAATAACTCAAATACAATGCTAACAAACTCAGAAACTTTTGTAACTCATTTTGTAAAAACTTACTTTCTGGAATGTCTCTTGCATGCAAAACAAACTGTTTTAGATCCTAGCCTTCCAGGCACTGACAAATCTTCATGTGTAAGCCACACCTTACCTGCAACACAAAAAACCAAGACCCATTCACAAACATACCATGGGGCCTGCATTCACCATTAACCACACATGCAAATTCTACGGACAACAAGGAACATAAACACGTTAACAGCTGCAAGAACAAAAAAGGAAATGAGGGCAGCAACTAACTATTTTTGTATCATTCACTTCATCATTTGGGCTGCAAAGTGTCTGAATAGAGTTCATTCACAGTTTCTAAGAGTCCAATGTGACATCTTCACATTGTTCGTTTGTCCAGCAAACAGTCCAAAACTGAGAGGTTTTTGTACTATTATTAGATGCAATTAATGATTAATCTGCCATAGTTTTTTCTTTTTTTATTTGCAACTATGTCTTTATTAAATGATAACCTAATCTATAAGCTGCAATAAAACTGTTCAAATTTCTTAACACAGTTTCCCAGACCCCAAAACAGTTACTTTTTTGATTGTTTGTTTGTTTTTGCACGACAAACAGTGTAAAACTCAAATATTAAATAAAGTCCTTACCATTGACTAAACTCTGGAAAGTTGGCATTTCTTTTTGCTTCAGAAGGCATGCATATTACTTGAATCATCATTTTAGCATCTGTAGTGTCTCAGTGAATAGTCTAAAAGAGCTGTTTCCAAACTTATCAAGAAGTCTCATCACCAGCTTAACAACAGACCACCAAATGGATCACAGTGTCTCTCAATGAACCCCATCTAAGAGGATTTTGCTGTAAGATATGACTGTAAGGCAGGAAGGTCACAGGGGCTACAGGGAAACCTCTCAATAACATTATAACTCTCCTGGATTCTTTTGACATAATTATGACATATTTATATTTTACTGAACCATCTTAAGGACACCTGAGGTCCAATGCTCTAATTTTGGATGCTGACCTACAGTCGCGTTTTCCTGATGGCCAATAAGTGAAGCCTCATTAGACTGAGCTTCTTCATTGGGCGAAGAAGCTGCACAGCATTTGCCAATGAATAAACTCTCATGTTAGCAATATGGCCGAATGGAGACTATACAGTGCAGTCGACCCAAACAGCCATTAGCTATACGATAAGTAACGGCAACATTAACAAATACCGTTGTAGTGCCACAGGTGTTCGTTATACAACCGAAAGAGAGCAACCCATATAGCTAGCTTAGCAGGCTAACTAAGCTTGCTACCGAAAACTGCCCATTTAACTCAGAGATTTAATGCTCTTACTGCCCCCGTTTCCTGCTGCCAACACTCGCAAACACTGAACGGCACAGTTGTGACAGGTAAAGCATTTGGAAGGGGGAGAAAAAAAACAAAGACGGAAAAAAACAAGAGTCTATCATGGCAAGCTGGCGCCGAGCCTGAAGCTGTCACGCAACAACTGACATTGAAAGACGGAATAATCTCTGAAATATTACCGTTGGTCCGCAAACACCGCGAGAGAACCGCGTCTAAACATCCGCGCGGGGCAAGGTCCTCGCAAAAGCCGACAAAACCGTGAACGTCGGCGGCACAGAAATGTCCAAAAGCGGCGACGGTGGAAACATTTTTCGCGGCAGATGTATGTACACACATATACACGGTTCCCACGGGCACACACGTACACACACGCTGGGCAAGGATACGCGCACACACTCGCCCACTCGTACACATAGACACTGGCTGCTCTGAATGTGGGTCACTGGGCCTTGCTCTACCTCGAGCGTGCGGAAACAGTCCCGAAAGCCTGGCTCTGCAGTCCGACCGCTTCCGCACGCTAAAAACACCGTTCGCAAACCGCAAACGGCCGCGCTATTTCGCAGTCCGCCACCGCCGCCGGCTTCGTGTGTGCATTAAAAAGGCTCCTTACCTTCACGGATAGTCGATAGCAGCCTCCGTGTTTTGCTTACTTGAGCGTTGCATCGAGGCGGTGGGGGCCAGGAGGACTCTGGGTTGGGGAGAAAAACAGGAGGCCTACTTCATATTACGACGTACAGTCATGCGCAATGGAGACAGTAGGGCGCACTATTTTGCAAGTACAGTAGCAGCAAAACGGAGGGAATCGCTGAGTGATCTTCAGAGGGAGAAATGACTCCGCGTTTCTGTGGCTTTTTCCAGTCAGACTGTCACCAAGTTTTTCGATTTGACTAAGATTTACATCAGCTTTATGTGGCGAATTAAATGCATTTAAATTGACAGTATCCTGAATAGCAAACCACGAAGATACAGTTAATTTTGTCAGAGTAGCTGGATAATACTTAGCCCAGTTTTTAAATATTAAAGTGCATTAGTTTAATGCTTCATTATAATCAGGGAAATACAGTTGAGGTTACAGTGAGCGGGCTGTGGATGAGGTACTGGATGTTGGCCAGGAGGGTGCAGAGCAGGGTAGGGATGGCCCTGGCTGATGGCAAAGGGGTTTCCCCTTTTATCGACATCCAATCACAGGCTCCACACGCCATGACGTTGTACTTATATTGTGTCGAGGTTCCCCGTAACTTCATATCATAGTGCATTTTAACATTAAAACACATTTGATGAGGCATAAAGTAGGATTAGACATCATGTCATATGTTTTTTCCCAAGCAACCGTGTCATTTTAGTCACTACTTTGATTGATATAACTGAGAAAAGGATGTATGAAAATCAGTGTATTGTTGTTTAAACCGTAGTTTACAGCCGATACCCCATTTATAAATAATGTGACATTAGAAAAAGGAGATTTGATCATGGGCTGCGATGAACTTGTATACTGTTTGCAAATATAGCTATTCACACTATGATGGCCATTCTCTTATATATAAGAGAGATCATATTGTCATCAAGACATTTAAAATCAAATAAAACTTTCATAATCTCAAAGATTTTTTTGCTATATATTGCTCAGAAAACAAATCTACAAAACATTTGGAAAGTTCCTTGTGTGAAAGCATATAAGTGCGATACATTACTCAAAATAAAATAAGGAATTAGAATAGAAAGATAAGAAGTGATACTGGCAAGTATTAGCACACATGATAATAAAATACTGCTCAACAAACTATTGAAGTCAGCTGAGGCCCTTGTTTTTATTGTGTTTTGTAGTGGATTGCAACCAGTCATTTTTATTATTGATTAATCTGCTGATTATTTTCACTCTAAAAATTGTTTGTTTGAGGAGGAGGCGCAACAAATCCCCAATTGAAACTGAAACTCAAGTGTTAGTCGCTCCTTTAGGATATAAGTATCTGGAACTTCCAACTAGTCAGTCAGAACTGATGAAGCCTCTTGGATGAGAGGTGAAACGTCTTCAACAAACTCAAGCGAGTCCAGTTGTTACGATTAAACAATGAGAATGAAAAGAAAAGACTCATTAAAGGTTAAATACACTCAATTTTGTATTTACAGCATTTGAACAAATACACTTATCTATATTCCACCACTGATCAGGCCAGCATTTAAAATGCTCTGCAGCCGGTTGTGGAACAGTTTCCTAAACAAACAAAAAAAACAAAAAAAAGAACAGCCTCTGAAGTTTATTTCTAAAACTACTGAATTGCATGTGTGTCTCACAATAGAGTTGTGCTGCCTCTGTGGATATCATACAATACCTGCACATTAACTCACATTTTTCTTCTTCTTCTGTTGTCACAATACTGCCCCCTTCAGAAAAAGTCTATAAAATACAGTGAAAGATATTGCTCTGGTGCAAAGATTTCTCTATTTTGAAACTTAATAAATTTCAAATTATCAGGGACCTTTGGTTCAACCATTTCTGATCTGCTGAAACTTTTTTTTTTATCATAAACTATGGATATTAAAAATGTTAACTGGGACATTTTAGATTGACACATCAAGTACTTCACAAGATAGTATATTTTTAAAAAGTCTATCGACCCACTTTTAGCACGTTTTTTAGTTGTTTTTTTGTTGTTGTTTTTTTTTTTTGCGTAGATTGAAATTGGGGCTTTTTTGGATGGCATTATCTCAGGAACTATTTAAGATAAGAACCTGGACATTTCAATATAATTTCCATTTTGAAACTCCAGAATTTAAACTTATTAGGCTATCTAGCAGTATTTTTGTTTTTGTGGGGCAACTTCTCATAATGCTCAATCAGTTATGAAGTTTTTAAAAAAACATTTTCTTTCATGTCTGTGACCAAGTATGTACACTTATGAAGTATGCTATATGTTTGTTTTGTATTATTGTAACATGATTGGTGGAGGCTGTGAGTCTGGTCAGAGTGTTGTTTTTCTGTGTAAGTGTGTATTTATTACTGATGGACCAGTATGACATTAAATATTTCTACATGCATAATTGTAACATGCAACTATATGTGATTCAGAAAAAACATCACTGATTGACTTCAGCATTATCAATTTATTTGTTAATATGTGCTCAAAGATTGAACTATTCATGACAGATTAAATTTTTTTTTTCATATTTCAGCTAACCCAGAACCAGACCTAATTTTATCTACTTGTCCAGTGTTGCAGAATGGTATGATGATTAAAAATGATTCTGAATTATTATTTATTTTTTAAGCTTTAATATACCAAGATATTCGTGGTTCAAACATAACATTTCAGTTCATAATGGCTAAAATTTCACAAATATCTATTTGAATGTCCATAATTTATGCCATGAGATGGATCGAGCAGAAGTAGTTCTAAAAAAGTCAGTGACTTGAGATGGAATGACCCCTGTGTGAGACAAACTTTAGGAATTGTTTGTCATGCCATGAAAAATGAAATAATCTCGTATTAACAATGAATTATTGCTCAATTACCTGTTCTGTTTAAACACATGAATATTGACACGCAGCTCAGCCCCCTGATAAAGTCTTACTCACTGTTAGCTGATTTCATTCACACATCTATTCACCTTCGTCCTATATCGTATTAACCACAGTAAAGCCTTGGGGTGAAAATCACACGTCTGAATAAGTTATGACACAATAACATCAAAGCAATTTTCCATGAACAATAATGATATCACAGTACAACAAATCACAAAATCAATGTCAGATGAGGACACTCTTCGACATAAACATTTTCAGATTCTGCTACAAAGGCTGAACTACAGAAAGCAAAATGTGTCATTACATTTAAATGATTCATTATAAATTCCATAATCTATGAAAACAGCAACACTTGTAGGGAGTGATCCTGTTTTCATATTCCCATCTGAGGTTTGTGCGCAAAACAAGTGCTTTCTTTAGCTCTTGTCTGTTACTTTATACCAGGGCCAACCTCATTAATTCTTTCCTCCCGCCTGGACTCATTATACTTGTGCGGCTCTGTCTTTCTCTCTCATTCCTGTCATCAGCCTCCTTCCTCTGCGTGAACTCCATTTGCTCCCTCACTTTTCTTCTCTTCTCTGTCATCATTTTCAGTTTGCTCGTGGTTTGTTCAGATTAGTCTTTATCTGCTTCTTAATGATTCTCCTCATTTTCCTATCTATTATGCTCTCTCCTTTGTCATCTCTCCGTCACTCAGCACCCCTTCCTGCATAATCTGCATTAGTCATTCCCTAATTCATCTCCATAACCAGCTCTTTCTTATTTTTTTTTATGTTCACCTTCTGCGTTCCCATTACTTCAGGTTGTTTGTTGCTTCTTTCAGTCACTGTTTTCATCTTTTGCCTCCTGTTTTTTTCCCACTCGTCTGCACCCTTCATTTCTTCTCTTTCTTTCTTCTTCATCTTCTTAGCCTTTTCTTCTTCACTTTCTTCTTCAACATCTCCTTCTTTCTTTCCTTTTCCCCCAAATTCATTGGCTTCATCCAGGCTTCCTGCATCACACAGATTTTTCTCCTCATCCTCGCTGCCTGCTCTTCTGACTTTACTTTAACTCTATTCATCATCTCTTTATGCCCTTTAATCAGACAACCCTGCCTTTCTAAACTCCTCCCATGTTGCCTTATAACGGTGTTATTATTGTTGTGTTATCCCATTTTTGAAGCCAACCACCTGCATATTTTACAAACTGCAAATGGAGAATGCAGTAGGCATATTCACAAAAAACACATCATATTTTCATGTAAATACAAATGTAGACAATAAGAACGCAGCATTTCCATTAAACATGGACAAGTATTCATCGCAGCCTTTATTCTAGTGCAATCAGGCAAACACTAAAAAAGAAACAAAACGCTCACTGAAATTCTGGGAATTCTCTAATTATTGTGCAAATAAACCTTTTTAATGTACATGACAAATATACAGGGATAAAGAGATGATAAGTAAGTACAATAAACCTCATGGATTATTCATGAAATTCAACACTTGTATATTTCCTTTCCTCTGTGCTTCCTGCCCATCCGCTCATCTTTCCATCTCAGAGGCAAAAAGCCTTTCAAGTGAACACCCACAAAAACCATCAACAACACAACAATAAAGCACTTAGCGGTGGAACGACCCATCTTTGTTTTCACAAAATGTGACAAATCCAATGGAGCCACACTCTTTCCTGCTAACAAATCAAATCAGCGTGTTGCTCTGGTTCATTCTGGAGCCGTTTTGCTCATAGAAAAAGTCTTCCTACGCTGTTTTGACAAGCTTCTCACAAGTCAAAAAAACACGCTCAAAGACGTAATATTTTGTTCTCCATGCCTGTCAGCATATCCAGTAATTCATCTTGCGGAGCTGCAATCACTCTTGGAGTGTAGCATCCTTTATGTGCTTGTAAAAATGCCCCCTCACCCCCCTATAAGTGCTTCACCCTACTTGTTCGTATTCGCACAGATTGAATTACCACGGAGTAATGGAAACCATGCAGAGTGCTGTGGGACATCCTTTTCCCACACAACAACCGTTTAATCACAGACAAACATTGGGCACTGTGCCACATTGTATATATCACTGTCTATATGTAAGCGAGGGGAGAGACAGAAAGGCCACGGAAAGAAAGGAAGAGACTTAGTGTGTGAGTTGTGAAGAAAACCTGAATAACATGCAACACAGGGAAGTGTGTCTAAGTTTTTTCATTAGACACACTCGAGCTACAAAAATACAAATGCAAGACTGAAATCCATATTTGCAGGAAACCTTCATAATGGATCTTAATTGAAGCAATAAAGATCGGCCTTTAATTGCCCCCTTCTTACTTAGTCCCTGTGGGGCAAGTTGGTATAAAAGCAGTTCTTCAATCAAAGATTTACGTCATCAAACGTGACAGAATGAACTCTATGTAAGTGTGTGCGTGTGTGTGTGTGTGTGTGTGTGTGTGTGTGCGTGTGTGTAACGAAAGAGCTCATCTCGCACACAACCAACCCACAACTTTCACGCGGTCTGACCAGAGGTAACATCACCTCCTCCCTCCTCACCACAACCAGATTTCAGGAATCTTCATAGTATTTTTCACATCTCACCTCTCTCGGATTTTTTTTTTAACAGCTGTTGTCAGTCTGTGATTGTTGTTTTTGTGAAGATTTAAATCTTCTCTTCCTCTCTCCAGTGATGTCGTCTCTCCTAAGGGAGGAGATGCAGAGAGTTTTATTCCGTCCTGCAAAACAGAGACTAGCGGAGTTTATTGAGATTGAGGAGCCGACGCGTGGACGGCATTTTCTCTGTGTGTCAGGTAAACGGCTTTTAAAAGCAGCTGCACATTGTATTATTTACCATATAAATAATATTTTCTATGATTTGAATAGTTTGCTTGTACTGAAGCTGTAAAGAAATGTCACTGGGTTATTAAACAGGGTGTGTAAGGCCTATAAGAATTGAAATTACTCCTTCGTCCTTTTACTGCAGATAAATTATCTGGTGCTGATCTGCACATGTTTACTCTATTGTGAAGATATTGTTTTCCATTTTCCAGTTGCAAAAGGCAAAGTGGTGCAGTTAAGTATAGTGCAATGTCAGATATCTAAGACATCGCTAAAGTCTGGATCCAAGAAATCTCGCACAAAACGCTCCAGCATACATAACTGCTACAGGAGGACAGAGATGTGGTCCCTGCAAGACCTGACTCTTGTTGATGGACGAGACCCTGATGTGGTAATTAACCATTTTAAATTCAATTGTTTTGTTTTGCTATAGTCATTTCACAAAGGCATTTCATTCCAAACAAAAGTCTGTTAAACAATCTTTTTTCATTTTTCATTTCGTACACCTTGTTCTTTCGATGTTCTCTGTGGGCCCTAACAGAAATATGACCTATCTCTGATGACTAAGTAAAAGGCACAATAATGAAAAAAAACAGCAACAACACAAATAGATGAGTCTTCCCTATAATACTGTGAACCAACAAATCAGTTTTTTTGTCATGTGTAAATCTAAGGATCAGTGTCTCAACCAGCTTTTTTCAGAAGTTATACTCTAAACAACATCTAATGTGTCAGAGGAATTATTTCATTCTTTCATTGACAAAATCATTTCATTTTTCAGGAAAAAAGCTGTTTAAAGGCCTTTATGTCTCTTTTAGCAAAAGAACAACTTAACTCCATGTCTGGCATCACTTCAATGTTGTCTTGTCAGAGAGAGAATTTACAGTATTTTTATCAAATAATTTTAATTCATCAAATGGCAAACGTGTATTGGTCTTACAGAGAGACATTTTCTTAAAACAAAGAAGAAATAATGATTGAAATCAAAGCAGCAGGCTGGGATATGTAGACTTTACTACCTAAAGTGACATAAGCTCTGAAAACTTTCACCATCCTGCACAAACTGTGATTCTTTAAAGTGCTATGTAATATGTTTTTCTTTATTCCTCTGATTCCAGGATGACCCCTGTTTCCTGCTGCACTTCGACAAGGTGCGTACCGTGATGGCCACCAGCTGCTCAGCCAAATACTCTTTTGTTCGCGCCCTGGTTGCTCTCAGTGAAAGGCACTGTCAGAGGTCACTGAACCTGCGGAACTTTGACTGGGCTTACATCAAGCCCACCTCCTTCTACTCCAACAGAGGGGACTGTGTTGTTCTGTCACAGATTTGCTTCTATGCAATGAATTTGGTCTGTCTTTCCATGTGTCCTGTGCCCCTGGAAGCGTAACAACTATTGTGTGCTTCAGCTTAGGTGTGTGTATGTGCACTGTGTGTAATGTGTTTTGTGTTGACCTGGTGGTGTGGGGTAAATGTAAATTTGTGGCTTCTGTTTCAAATTCAGGCTTTGACAAGAGGTTGAAAACCATGAAATGTGTTTTGCATTAATCCTCTACTGAATGTATCATCATGACGATTGCAAGTTTCAGATAGCTTGATATTTGTTAAACTCATAATCCACTTTTGTGATCTGCCAATTACTTATAACTGGAAATATGCTATTCCATGTGATGCTGCAAATCTCAAACTATATGGTGGAAAACAAATAAAACTATTTCAAAATCCCTGCCTCTCTTTTTACCTCTAAAAAAAAGGTAAGCTGAGAATAATGTGTTATTTTAGAATCTATACATGTACTGTGCTCTGCTGTCAGCTGTATATGTCTGTACTCTGAGTACACAAGGTCCTGTGTTTTGGAAATTTGGAATTTAGCAACCTGGACTTGTTTTAATTCTACAATAAAAAAAAAAACAAAAAAACATTTCATACATATTTTGCAGCAGCATAGATTGCAGCATTTTTTAAAGGATTATTTTGTAGCCCACGTATTGCATCCACTTAAAAAAGAAAAGAAAAAAAGGAAAAAGGTAAAATATCAAAGATCAAAGAAAGAAGAATGTGCTTGTAAAATACAAGGGCTGTTTCCAGTTTCCCCTTAGTATTTTCTTCAGGAGCTAGTTTGACATGGGACTAAGTTTTTTCCTTACTTTTGGACTTTATTAATGTGTTATTTTGTAGATAGATAATAATAATGGATACAGTAACAAACTAAATTGCCAAAGTGCCTAAATATTCCACACAGTCTGGTGATAGAGCATGATGCTCTATCTCACCCCAATGTCCTCACTCCTCACCCCTCACTCCCCACCTCTCCCCGCTTATATAATATAGTATATTTATATATACTTATAAAATATATATCTTATATAATATAGTACGGTCTATATTGCAGTGTCTTAACCTTCAGATTTGATTTAGTCAGGTAAACTCGTACTTCATATACGTTGCAAAGTCTGCTCAGGTAAATTTACATTTACATAATAAAGTAGGGTCTTAGCTCTGATATTTGAAAATGTCAGAAAGATTATTAATAAAACATTGTAGGTTTTTAAATGTACCATTAAAGTTAATCATGCAAATTGTTTTTATACAGACTATAGTCGGATCTTAACCTTAAGATTCAATTTATTCGAGTAACATTGTATTTACAGTTAGATCTTAGCTATAATATCTTAATTATGCTGGCAATTTATATAAAAAGGGTAAAGTTACAGAAAAGATAAGACTGCAGAGTCTTAACCTTAATATGTAAACTTGCAAGTAAAATTTGTAGTCAGTCTTATTTCTCTACTAGAAAGCAGTTTTACGTCAGTTGTTTAAAATGTGTTTTATAAATGACGTTGACTCAACCTGCAGTTCAGCTTTATACCTACAGATGGCGCCAAGACATCTGCATTAGCCACAATCTAGGGGCATTTTAGTAGCCTTTACAATTGCCGGACGAAAATTTATATACATAGCTATGTAGGCCTATAAAATATTTTTCTTCTCATTTTATCTTCACATTTCAAATGTTTTATATTAACTCATTTGAAATATTTTAAATGTCATCGTGTAAAATAAACCGTGACAATTTCTCGTTTTTAGTCCGGCACAGAAAAGTCGCCCCAGCGGCTCCATGTCTGCCGCCAAAATTCAAGTTAGAAGAGAGAAGAAGCAGTTTACCAGTCGTCGGTTGTAAACACTGGGCTGTGACCTAGTGCTTTCGCTGTTTTAACTTACCGATTTGTCGTGTTACAGATATTGCCGCCAGAGTCTGCGGAGAGACGACAGCCTAAAGATGCACATCAAGTCTATCATCATCGAGGGATTCAAATCCTACGCGCAGAGGACGGAGATCAACGGCTTTGACCCGCTGTTCAACGCCATCACTGGACTGAACGGCAGCGGCAAGTCCAATATTTTGGACTCGATATGTTTCCTTTTGGGCATTTCCAACCTCACCCATGTAAGAGCACCTCTGACTATAAAGTCGCTTAAAGCTAATAACTTCTAAGCTAAACACGTACCCAGTTGTTTATCTTAAAGCGTTGGTGTGGTCGTTCTTGTTTTCTATCGTTTACTAGCAGCACTAACGAACTGTTCCATTAAGAAACTTTTGTGCCTTTTGCTTCACTTCACTTGAAAGGTACGAGCCTCCAATCTCCAGGATTTGGTTTACAAGAATGGTCAGGGTGGTATCACCAAGGCCACGGTGTCTATTACGTTTGACAATTCCAACAAAAGCCAGAGTCCTCTGGGCTTTGAAACCCACGAAGAGATCACAGTTACCAGACAGGTGGGGAAAGAAATGAAGGAGGAAACTGTGTTTTTTTTGTTGTTTTGTTTTTTGGAGCCTCTGACACTGGTTAACAAGGTTATTGATCAACTGTAGTATTAAAATAGTGCAACATGTGGGCTTTTTTTTCTCTTCAAGGTGGTAATTGGTGGCAGGAACAAGTACCTCATCAATGGAGTCAATGCCAACAACACCAGGGTGCAGGACTTATTCTGCTCTGTTGGCCTCAACGTCAACAACCCACATTTCCTCATCATGCAGGTCAGTCTTCTGCAGTGTGAATTGTATGATATGCAAGGCTTTAATATCCCTGCAGGTCACATTCTTAGATTTTTTTTTCAGACCAATGAGTAAATTTAATGTCATGTGATGCTTTCAATACTTTAGGGAAGGATCACCAAGGTTCTGAATATGAAGCCACCAGAGGTAAAACACACATGTTAACAACAACATACACTATCTCACTAACTGAACTCGTTCATATATTTTCCTGTCTTTCTGAGACTTTTAATGATGACCACGTCTCTTCCTCCAGATCCTTGCCATGATCGAGGAGGCAGCGGGCACCAGGATGTATGAATGTAAAAAGATTAGTGCTCAGAAGACCATTGAGAAGAAGGAGGCCAAGCTGAAGGAGATTCAGACTGTATGTTTGACATCCAAAGTCGTTTTCACTTCTTTGTCTTCATTTGTTCGTCTTTGGAGAGTTGGTAACAGCAAACTGTGTACTCTTTTAGATTTTGGATGAGGAAATTACTCCAACTATGCAGAAACTGCAAGAGGTAGGTTGACTATATAATTTAAACTAAAACTTCTCCTGCATACATTTAAAATATGACCATATTGCTTGTATATATTTATATGTAATTATTTCCATTTTATTTCTTCCTCTCTCTGCAGGAGCGATCGTCATACCTGGAGTACCAGAAGCTGATGCGTGAGATCCAGCACTTGTCGCGGCTGTATGTGGCCTGGCTGTTTGTGTGTGCAGAGGAGACCAAGGTGAAGTCAGCAGATAATCTTAAGGTGATGCAAGACAACATTACCAAGATGCAAGCCACCATGGCTGAAAACGAGAGCAAAGTCCAAGAGCTCTCAGCCCAAATTCAGGAGCTACAGAAGAAAAAAGACCAGGTACTGTACCGAAAGGAAGGGATAAGGATGCTTTTATAACTGTTGTGAATACCTGCTTTCGTCTTTCAGAGTTATCTGTAGGCCATAAGTCAATTTTTTGTGTTTTTTTTGTTTGTTATTGAGCTACAAATGAAAAAGGAATTTTGGGTCATATTACTTTGCCTTTGATATTAATTTGCTCATTTGTAGGAGGTGAATGGAGTCTTGAAATCACTGGAGGAGGCTCTAGCTGATGTACAACGTGTGGATGCCAAAGCTCAGAGTGCACTTGACTTAAAAAAACAGAATCTTAAAGATGAAACCAAGAAGAGGAAGGAGCTTGAAAAGAATATGGAAGAGGTAATTGATCAATACATTTTGCTAAGGTGACTTGTCAAAAGAGTAGTGTTTTGAGCAAAGTAAAATTTACATTCGATGATGGTAATCAGATCAAAACTGTCCTTTTTCTTCACCTGTAGGACAAGAAAGTGCTTGTGGTGAAGGAAAAAGAGGTTTCTAAGTTGACTGAGCAGCTTCAAGCTGTACAGGAGGAGGGACAGAAGGACAGCATTGCCCTTGAAGCAGCTGAGCAGCATTTCAAAGCTGTTTCTGCAGGTCTTTCTACCAATGAAGACGGAGAGGAGGCCACGCTTGCCGGGCAGATGATGACCTGCAAGAATGACATGAGCAAGGCAGACACCGAGGCCAAGCAGGTGAGGAAAGGAGTTGAATGTATCTGCAACAGTTGTGACGTTTCACATTCAGTTTATTAGATTACCAGTTTACATAAACAATCATGTTTTCAGTACAAAAAAATAGTTGCTTGGCTGTATGTTGTTCTCTTGTTGTTGCTGAGATTGCTTCATGTTAGGAAAACACTTCCGTTCTTTGTAATTATTTTTATCATAAATTTCCAACGCTACTTGTTTTATCTCTCTCTTCCTTCTGTTTGTTCAGGCCCTGATGACCCTGAAGCATGCTCAAGCAGAGCTGAAGACCAAACAGGCAGAAGTGAAAAAGATGGACAGTGGCTACAAGAAGGACCAGGACAACCTGCAGGCTGTCAGAAGCAGCAGGGAGAAACTTGAAGCTGAGATAGCCAAACTCAACTATGAAGGTACCGTGTGCATGTCTGTCACTTGTACTTGAAGATGCCTCTTCTGCCCAACACTTGTCATGACAGTAGGTATTTGTTTTTCTCTGTCCAGATGGGAAGGAAGAAAGTCTGCAAGAAAAAAGAAGACAGCTGTCCAGAGAGGTCTCTAAACTTAAAGAGACCTACGAGCATCTCGTGTCACGCTTTCCTAACCTGCGCTTTGACTACAGGTAAGAACTTTCATCTCTTTACATAACATATTTAAAGTGGAGATAAACATTTTCATTTTGTTCCTTTTCATATTTTTTTGCATGTAATATGTGAAAAAAAACTACTTCTGTTAAAATTTCCCACTGCTCAATGTGATATATTGACAACATGTATTATTTGACCTACAGTCTAAAACCAAACAATTCCATTTTCTAGTATAAATGACCGAAAAGCATTTAATCTTCTAAAAGCTGATATTCAAGTATTTGGCAAATCACAAACATTTGGATAGTGTATTTGCAGGCTGAGTAGGGCTGCGACTAAGATTCTTTTCATCATCAGATTATTTCTAATCATTAGCTCAATTAATTGATTATATGTTCATCAGAAAAATTGTGAATTCTGCTCATAAATTGCCCTAAAGCATCTTGGTAATGTCAATAAATAATATTGTATGACCAACAGTCTAGAACTGATATCAATATTATCCCTGTTCTATCACAGCAGAGAAAAGCAGCATATGTTTACCATTGACGAGATGGAATTGGAGAGTGTCAGGCATTTATGTATAAGAGAAATATAAAATAGAACAGAATGTAAAAATATATCCATGATTGGTTATCGACTACTTGTTTCAGCTCACATTGCAGATTCATAAGTTTCAAAGTGAATTTATTTGCTGTGTTATTTTACTTTGTGTTTTCCCCCTGCTGTCTTTTAGGGACCCAGAGCGAGGATTTGACCGTAGCAAAGTGAAAGGGCTCCTAGCTAACCTGATTACAGTCCAGGATGTCTCCTACGCAACAGCGCTGGAGGTTGTCGCAGGAGGGCGGCTCTATAACATTGTCGTTGACACAGAGGTAGGTCTTAGAGTGGAAAGTGCACTGTATTTTAATGCTATCATGAGTGTTGCCGCTGTTTTTTAATTTGCAGACCAGTGAGACCATTTAACCTGAAGTATTGATTTTGTCTTTGCTAGGTGACTGGTAAAAAGCTGCTGGAGAAGGGAGAACTGCAGCGAAGGTACACCATCATTCCCCTGAACAAGATTTCTGCCAAAACACTTAATGACAAAGTCGTCAGCACTGCCAAGAGCCTGGTGAGAGAATAGCCTTTCCTATGGTGCAATTTTAATTGGTGTATTTGTGTTTGGAGAAATGCGTGATAATCTAGTTTTAGTTTCACTTTGCTGACACTCTTACCGCTTTTTGTCTCTCTTACTATCGCCCATCTTCTTTTCCATTTGTCAGGTTGGAGAGGACAATGTTCACACAGCTCTGTCCCTGGTTGGCTATGAATCTGACCTGCGTAAGGCCATGGAGTACGTGTTTGGCTCCACACTGGTGTGTGACACCTTGGACAATGCCAAACAAGTGGCTTTTAATAAGCAGGTGATGACCAAGACTGTCACTCTTGGCGGGGACATCTTCGACCCACAGGGAACTCTGAGTGGAGGTGAGAGCAAGAGCGTACATGAATATACACTCTACAATGTGGCACGAAGTCATCGATATATGGGTTTGCTAAGGAGTAATAGAGGAGCTGTGTGTCAAAGGTAGAAAAAAAAATCAATTATGGGATCTCCTTTGTACCCATAACTGAATAGAATCATACTTTTGCTCTATTACTATTAGAATGACCGTTTTAACTTACCGGCCTGTGCTGGGAAGTCATCTTGCAACTCCTGCTTTTTCTCTTTCAGGTGCTCGCTGCCAGTCAGCATCAGTTCTGTCAAGCCTGCAAGAGGTAAAGGAAGTTCAGGACAATTTGAACAGCAAGGGTTCCCAGCTCCAGGAAACTGAACGACAACTGGCCAGCCTGAAGGGAACTGCTGAGAAGTACGCAGACACACAAAATACCTGCATAAACTGAAGAAAGTTGGATGTCCATTTACAGTAAAATACTTGTAATGTAGTTGTAACTTGGTATAGCCATTTATTAATGCATTTATCAATATCTATAAGTCCTTCTGTGGAAACCCATGAGTGAAGTTCTGGTTTATAACAATTTATCTCATCACTGGAGATATTAAAATTGTTTACATTATAATAACTGTAGTTTAAATTCCAACACTGTCATCAGCGACTCACTTTTACAGCGTCCAGCTGTATTCTAGCTCTCACTCACTCATATTGTTTCCACCTACCCCCGTGTTTCTTTCTTCTCAACACCACATTTTCCTCCTTGCAGGTACCGACAGCTGAAGCAGCAGCATGAGCTGAAGGTGGAGGAGGAACAGATTCTGCAGGCCAAGGTACAGCAGAGCTCCTTCCACCAGCAGCAAGAGGAGCTGGAGAGGCTGCGCAAGGCAATTGGTCAGAACACTGAAATGTGCACAAGCAAACAATCACTAAATTCAGCTTGGCAGATTCTGCATACTATATACAAATCAAGATTAGATTTAAGATTCCTCCTGGACCTATTTATGTAGACATCTAATATAAAGTTGCAAGCAGACAAACAAAATGCTGGACCTGCTTTAGTTTTTATTGTTTGCTGTGGTGTGTTTGCTGAAACAGAGGAGAGTGAGGAGACTTTGCGTGTCACCAAGGATGTGCAGAAACGGGCTGAAGAGAAATACAAGGTGCTGGAGAACAAGATGAAGAATGCTGAGGCAGAGAGGGAGAAGGAACTGAAAGCTGCTCAGCAGAAACTCAACACAGCCAAAGCCAAAGCGGATGCCTTCAACAAGAAGTTAAAGCAGAAGCAGCAGGTACACCGAACAGACACAGTTATGCATGATTATGTTTCCCGTACTTGATTTTACGGTCTCTCTCCATGCAAAAATTTACTTCTCTTGCACATTTGACCCTCACTGTACAGAATAATGTAGCCTGGATTGTACAGATAGATAGATAGATAGATAGATACTTTATTCATCTCCAAGAGAAATTTACAGTGTACATGCATTGAGAATGGACTTTTGGTGATGTAGGAGACATCTTACATGTAGTAGTTACATGTTTAAAGTGAAAATTATTTGTCTTTGCATTTTCTGTATTTTTCAATGAGAGAGAACACAGATGTCATTTTAAGAATTTTTTTTAACCCAAGAATTGAACTTTGCTAATGGAAATTAACGGAAGACTATAACATAATGAATTATTATTCAAAGCAGAGCATTTTTAAATGTATTTATATATATGTGTCCTTTAAGCACTGTATTAAATTGTATTCAAAGCACATTTCGGCCTGGATCTACTGTTGCATTTGAAGAACTGACAAAATGTTCCTGTTTTCTGATTCTTGCTCGTGAGCAGGAGTCTGATGCCGTGGCCCTGGAGTTGGAGGAGCTGCAAAGGGAGCAGGCTGGTTATGAGCAGCAGATTCAGGCTGTGGACGAGGCAGTGAAGGCCATCCAGGAGCAGATAGACAGCATGGCCTGCACTGTGTCCCAGAACAAGGTATTTTTCGAGGCCTCTAAAAGTTTGTTCTTTTAAGGACAGTGTACATGTTGAGTGAATTTACATGTATGGAAATTACTCTGTTTAATGCAGTTTCTAATTTGTCCGTCCCTCTCTCGTCATTCCTCTTTTTTTTCTCTCTTTTTTTTTCTTCCACGATGTAGGAGGCAGTGCGTAAAGCTCAGGAGGAGCTGGCTAAACAAAAAGAAGTAATCATGGCACAAGACAAAGAGCTCAAGGTAAATACAGTTTTTGCCTTTTAATGATTTGGTTGTTGGCGTCCTCTTGGGAAGGGGAGAAGAATTAATTTAAGAGTTGATTCCCTCGAGCATAGTACATCATCATTACACTGTACGTGCAAAAGCTTCAGTTGCTTAGATTTGAAAATTCTAAGTTGTATGCAGATTTGTAAAAATGTGGTTGATCTAATTAAAATTTCTGTCTATTTGAATGCTCCAGGGCAAAAGCACAGAGGCCAGTAAGATAAGAGAGAAGAACAACGAAGTTCAGCTGAAGATCAAGGAGCTGGAACACAACATAAGTAAACACCGCAAAGACAGTCAGGATGCTGCTGACAAGGTACGCAGACTTTAATTTACCTCCGCTACTCTGACTGCAACAATGTTTAGCACTTTCATGATCTGTGAGGCTCATGTAAATTTCTTTCTTTACTTTGTCTTCCTCCAGGTGTCTCGGATGCTGGAGGAACACGACTGGATCCATTCGGAGCGTCAGTTCTTCGGCATGCCAAACACGTCTTATGACTTCAAGACCAACAATCCCCGTGAGGCAGGCCAGAGGCTGAAGAAGCTGGAGGAGACCACCACCAAGCTGGAGAGGAACGTAAACAAGAGAGCCATGAACATGCTGAACGAGACGGAAGAAAGGGTGAGGAGGAGTCAGGAAGAAAAGGATGTCAGAGATTGGAGAGCCAACAAATGTAAAAACAACATTTGCAGCTCAAATTTTTCACAGATCCCCTAATTATCCCTTGCAATTGTCTGCCCTTCTGCAGTACAATGACCTGATGAAGAAGAAGAGGATTGTGGAGAACGACAAAGCAAAAATCTTGCAGACCATTGAGGAGCTGGACCAGAAGAAGAATGAGGCTCTCAACGTAGCATGGCAGAAGGTCTGCTGCTTTTTCAGCATGAAAGTTTTCACTTTCAATTGCACTTGTCTCATTTATGTAGTACTGGGTGCTATGAAAATGTGTGCTTTGAGAAAATATAGATTTTATTTACAGTGGTAGTTCTACTGTTAATATCTCTGAATGATTTTACATACATTAGAATTCAGTGACCACATCTGCTTTAGTCAAAAACGTCCCTATCTGGTCGTTTCATCCATACACTGCTCATTTTTTGGGAGGGATTTTACCTGTTTTCTTGTCTCTGTATATGATAAATTCATTACATATTTTACAGTATCTTTTCAGTATCTTGACTTGAAGGTGGCACTTTAGTTATGATAGCATGTCAGAAACTACTTTTTTAAAATTTATTTGAGTCTCATTTAAACTGGAAAAAACTACCCACAATACTTGACAGTCTTTGTTCTAAAATTACCGTATTGATTCAGGGCTGTTATAATTATAGCATTGTGGTTTGGTCTGTTTGTAGCTTTCATTTTCACTGATGAATTATTGAGCCTGTAGCTGTGGACCTCACTAACAACATCCTGCATTTATGTGCCATTAATTTTGCATGATTGTCTCTCTGTAGGTAAACAAGGACTTTGGCTCCATCTTCTCCACTCTGCTGCCAGGGGCCACAGCAAAGCTGGCGCCTCCTCAGGGCTGCGGGGTCCTGGAGGGCCTTGAGTTCAAGGTGGCCTTGGGCAACACCTGGAAGGAGAACCTCACTGAGCTCAGTGGTGGACAAAGGTCAGCTAAATCAATTATTTTCTACCTAAACAGTGCTGTAAGTACAAATAGAAATGTTTGTGTGGTTGATGAGTCACTTTTATTCAGAGCCCTGCTTGTGTCTGTTTTCAGGTCACTGGTGGCCTTGTCTCTCATTCTGGCCATGCTGCTTTTCAAGCCTGCTCCCATCTACATCTTAGATGAGGTGGATGCTGCTCTGGATCTGTCTCACACACAAAATATCGGACAGATGCTACGAACACATTTTAGACACTCCCAGGTAAGTGAAAATATGCAAATGTGCACTCTTAATGAACCTTAAACTGTTGTGTGTGGGACAGTTTAAAACTTTTAAGCACAAAGCCATCTGATGTTGTCTTTCCTGATCTTGTTTGTGCTGTTGGATAAAATCAGCCGATTTTACCACACTTTTACTTTCTTTCTTTCCTCGCAGTTTGTGGTTGTGTCCCTGAAGGACGGCATGTTCACCAACGCCAACGTCCTATTCAAGACGAAGTTCGTCGACGGCATGTCCACAGTGACGCGGACCGCGCTCAGCCAGAGTGACGCCAACCTCCCTCAGAAAGGTCAAGATAAAGCTCGTCAGAAGGACAAGAGGAGCAAGCAAATCACGAGCTAGTCATTACGCTCAAAGTGCTGATCGGGACAAATCGCATTTTAGATTCCCTCTGGTAGTATGTCTTCTTGAAACCACGTCACCTAACATAACAAAAATGTGGTATCTGCTAATAACTCATTAATTGTGGATACTTGTGTTTCCTTTGTGGGTCGTATTTGCTCACTGTTGTGCTGTTTTTGCACCCATTCAGAGTTAATTTGTTTCATTGTTATTTCATCCTTTATCTCATGTGTCCTTTTTGTTCAGCTGTTTGAAAGTGGGATCTGTTCACCTCTTTGTATTTTCAACCTTAACTGTACATTTCCTTTTCTAAACTGTCCTTGTTTTCCTGTCTCTTTTGTGGACTAAGTTCATGTTTCTCTGCTTCAAGTCAACAGTTTTGTATGCAGCTAATGCTTTTCTATATTTTCCTAAATAAAGCAGGGTAAATATTAGTGTTTTTGACCGCTGATTTGGTTAATTTCTGTTACTGTCTTGAAAATGCTTTGCAAACTGCAGGGAGTGTATATAGGATTTGATTTGCTGGACTCCAGTGGCAGGGACTTACTTCCGCAGTGATCCTGAGTGAGGCATTGTGGTGCCTTCACTCAGAATTACTAAATATATCACCAAAAATATTTAACCTGAAACTGCTGGATTTAAAACTAAATGTATAACTCTGCAGACAAAAGAAAAGTCATCGGTCCAAATATTCCAGGGAATTTTATTTCATCAAGGACAAATTCAAACAGCTATAGCATTACTTTGAGTTAACAGCAGGGTTTTTTATTTTCAAAACTGCACAAAATAGGCCATCTCACTTACTTATCTGGCAAACAGGACAAAGAACACCATTGTCAGGACACAGAAGATCTCTAGTGTCTCCATTCTTTCACCAATACCCAGAAGCGGTGGTAAAATTATAGAGAAGTGTCAACACTCCTGAAAGGTGCAACTGAAAGTCAGTCACACTTCTGTGTCAGCTAAGGTGCACAACCTGCTGCTTTCTTATTTAATGAGTAGGCAAACTCACAACAGTAGTAAAATTCCCCCATTTTGGGGCTATAGGTATACAGTGTCCACAAACCCAACACATTGGTTTATATAGCATTTATTATCAACTTACTGTCCATTTAAATGAACCAAATAAAACTTGACACATGACAGTAATAGTCTTGCCCTTCGACACTGACTTCAGGCGTGGAGCAAGTTACTTATTGTAGTCTCTTCAAACTTCTTCAGCCACAAGCAGGAATCAGTCTGCTTGCGTGGGAGCAGCCTCTTACATAGGCCAGCATCACAGGTAATATGGATACTTAATGCAATCATTGGGAGATTTGTGAATATCTGTTTGGGAGAAAACGGCTGTATCAAAGAGGTCAGACAAAGGAGTGTGCTATTGTACGGTTTGTGTCGTTGACAAAGAAGTAAAAAGAAGTTGAAGGTCTGTTTTCTTGTGTTTTCGTGAGCCGTGTGCGCTCAGGGTTGGCTCTGGATGTGTCTGCGCAGCTCCTGGGCTTTATCCCTCAGGTCGGGTCTGCTGTCGGACTGCAGTGTGGACAGAGAGCGCTGCAGCTTCTCCCGACTCTTCACAGACACACAGTCCCACTGCTCACTCTCTGTTAAGACCACACATCAATGTTTCAGCAATCTGTGATATGTTAAGTACAATCACATACATTAAGAGGAACATATTTACAGTGCATGTTCATAAATATGTACGCGTTGTTAGAGAGACATGCCAGCTGGGCCTGTCTGTGAGGAAGAGAACAGCTTGTACATTACAGGAAGCTAGTTCTAAACATATTTCTAATATCAGTCATAAAAGAAACAAGACAATGGCTTTGCATTTTAAAGATTAGAAGAGCCTACTTTAGAGGCAGCAGTACGTTGAGCTAAATGTATGCTGGCATGAACACAATGACAGTGCCAATATTCACTAGGAGAGGTGTTTAGCATGTTAGCAAATTGACACGCATACCTGAGTTAGAGAGAAGTCAACAAATATAACACTTATGACCTCATGGTAGTGCTTGAAGAAAAGTCGGGGATCCCCAATGGCCAACATCATTAGGATTCAGTGTGTGTGTTCCTATATCAATACCACTATACTATATAGTTGTGCCAGGAATATATTTAGCATGTTCAAATGCATAGTAGGCCAAAGGCGGTATGCCAGAAATATCAGAATGTCTGACAACATACAGTCAGACAGCTCATTCTACACAATAGATTACTACAGTCAAAGTTTAGGGTGCTTTTATGTTGAAGTAGGATGTCTAAAATGTGCACATGCTGCATGAAACAGTCTGTACTTTGTAAGGGCAGTTGTAGTAAATACTTAAAATTAAAAGGCAAAGCATGCGATTTAGAACACAGCCATTGTCTAAGACAGGGGTTCTCAACTGGTGGGTCGCAAGCCAAAAGTGGTTCGCGGACAGCTGATCAAAATTAAATAATATATAATGTGCATCTCAGGTTGGACTTATTTTTTTATTTTGAAAAAACATTTATTTTGACAGGCATGGTAACCATAGTTTGTTTGACGTTCATTTTAAGTTTGTGTTGATGTCGGGATGCTAGATGTCAAAGCGCAAATATGACCCGGAGTATTTAAAATGTGGATTTTCATACTAGGGCTGGACCCGAATAGCAAAATAGCCAACTATTCATTCGCTGTGCTGGAATCGGGATATCAGTTTTGATCTCCGAATATTCCTCTTCCTCCAGTTAGTGGGAGGTAAGCCTTTCCCACTTCTGGTGCAGTGATGTGATGGCTGAGTATCCATCCCTTGCCACTCTTGCAGTTAAAACAATCTTACCATTCAGTTCAACCTGTTTGTGTGACAGTAGCTTCTCTACCTTGGTCCAGCTCAAGTCAAAGCAGAAAAACAGGTTGGACACTGAGCATGATCTGAGAGCAGCTCTGTTTACTGTCACCCCAGACTCTGAAACTCTAATCAAGAGTAGAGCACGTGCCCGACTGTCTCATTAACTTCAACAAATGACCTGATTAGGCCAAAACTTTATTTTCGAGTAGTTTTGATATTTATTTTACTCACTTTGTACATGCAGTTGTCATGGTCCTCCTTAGTTTCTTATTAATTTGCTCAAAATGGAGTGAAAGTATGTTGCTTTGTGCCCTTATTTATTTTGTGCAGTTTTGTACATGCAGTTGTCATGGCCCAGTTACTATGCATGGTTACATGCTCTGAAATGCATGTTTGCACAGGAAACTATATTGAATATTGAATTCTAAAAAAAAAAGTGGGTCGCAACTTAATGACCATGGGAAAATGTGGGTCCCAGGATGAGACCAGTTGAGAACCCCTGGTCTAAGAAAACTGAATGTGTCAATAAAATCTAGTATTTGTTGGGATATTCCAGTCTGGAGCAAACAGATAATGGACACTATCATTGGAACTGACTGACAGGAAAATAAAAGAAAAAGTGTGTCCTATTCAAATTTGCTCATTGCCGATCATACAACATGTTACATTTAAACATATGTATACACAGTTCAATAACCAGAAAAAACCTCTGTGGGCCCTCCACTCCACATCACAAGCTCACAAGCGAAGCACAATGAATTTACAATACAATACACAACAAAAGCTTACCTCCAGTTCTCTTCACGATCAGATCAACAACTGACAAGGCCTCTGTTCTCACAGAGGAGTAACTTTTGTTTTCTGGACAGAAAAACGACACAAAGATGGTGAGTAAATGCATGCACAATAAACTGTAATTTAAAGTACTTTGAGAAAGTGAGGTCCATACCTAAAGGATATGTGAGAGCAGCGCAGGTGTTTGTGAGGATCTGCGACAATGCATTTAAGTCCTCACCGCCTTTCTCTAGCAGCAATAACCTACAAAAAAATTAAACAACTTTGCTTGGAAATGTTTCTTTAATAAACTAAATAACTCATGGTTCAGAGTAAATTTAAACACTTCAGCTGGTAGAAATGCTATTCTTTGCTGGGTTCGTACCCCTGGAAGTATGCCTTCATGGACTGTAGAACACCGAGCTGAACTTTCCAGGTGCTCAGTTTGAGTTTCTCACACATTAGACTGCACACCTCCACCTGGAAACGTGCTACAGATAGAAACAGTGTTCAGAATATTACTGGACGAGGGACACATCTCAGCTTCCCAGCAGCCCACCCACATTTATAGCCAGTGTTGCGGAGAGAACTACTACATATTATGATAGTTCTGCCACAAATGTTAAACCCATAGCAACATATGAGTGAACAATAGAAATACTGAGGTGGTATTTAGATGAATTTTTTATTATTTCAAACATTCTCAGTCCTAAATAGTGAATAACAATAAAAAATAATGCTACGTACAGCAATAGTAAAGGACTTAAAACACATGTAAAAGTGTAATAAAGTAAACAAAAGGGAAAAATGAAACCAATGTAACTGGAACGAAATATACATATATATTATCTATGTTGTAATCCACAAGGATATCTGGCATTCTGACAACTCACACAACATATATGGTGACTTATACTGACTGCAGGTAACTAAGCAAAATGTAACTGAGCGTTGACTGCAAGTATTATAGGCTCCACCCATCACTACTGGGTAAACTAATGTAGTGCATGACAACCATTACATAGTGGCAAGAGTGCATATTCAAGGCTCAAAAGAGCAAGTGTGGTCTGCTACATGAGTAGGAACTGGAAAAGTGAGTCCGAATTCCAGCAGGAAGATCAACTTTAAAAAGAATGGAAAATGATGAAATGGAAACGATTTTATAGCTCAGACCTTGCTGCATAACATTTTGTAAGAATGTGTCCAATATTAACATTTCGCTACAAGCAATATACAATATGTCAAAACAAGTGTGCAGCATAGACAATATTCTTTAGGGTTCATACATTTTACTAATCTAGTTAACTTGTATGCCAAACAGAGGTCAAGTTTAGTGTCTGGGCTGGGACTTACCTTGAGTCTGTGGGTTTCTGGGCCAAGTCTTTCCAAGAGTCTCAAAAGCACAAAGCAGAGCTTCAGTCTGCAGCTCTTTCTCCTTCACATCTCTAGCATCATCATCATCATCATCATCATCCAGCGACCTTGGGGACGCACCGCCGCTCTCTGGACAGCTCTGTTGGGAAATTATGAAGGTACACTGAGCACATTTGAAAGGCTTCTCAAAATACACGACTGTCTTTAAATAGGGCAGTCAAAACAAACAGGTGGTACTATTAGATGTGGTGTAGACGGGAATTGACCTTCTTGATTAGAGGGAAAAGGATCTCTGCCATGTCGCTGAACCGGTCCTCCTGGCTACTGTGAAGCACATCTCCAGCGCAGCGCATAGCGGCCATTTTGTAAACCAGACTTTCCTTACGACATTCCTTCAGCACGACCTCCATCACCTCGGAGATGGTGGGTTGGCCACTGCAAGGCTTCTGTAGCTCTGCACTAAAAGCCAGAGGAAGAAC